AAACCTGCGCGAACTTATAAGGAGGGAGACTTAGTTAAAATAACAAAGGTTGCTTTTAACAATGACGGGAAAAGTAAGAAGCTTTTGCCCTCGTACTCTGGACCGTACAGAGTTACACAGGTGTTAGGAAATGAAAGATACAGATTAGCAGGAATACCAGGACTGACTGGCACTAAGTCTAAGCGTAAAACTACGGTGGCAGCCGATCGCATGTTGCCCTGGGTTCACTTGGCGGCTCTTGAAGTTAATAGTGATTCTGGCGATGAAAATGTAAATTATTCTGCTTCAGAAAGTGAATGATATTACGCTACCTTGTAATTGAGTATTACCGTAATTGCTAGTATTCTTTTTCTTATAATACCTAATTAATCTTTACAAATGTATTATTTATGTTCTATGTTTACAATAGTTAAGATGAATACCTATTATTGAATGAATAGTAAAATGTAAGCGGAAATATATAAAGCTTACTAATATATAAAGAAGCTGTATACGTACGTAATTTGTTACAGTCGTGCCAGAATTGGTTGGGTTGGCATGCATCGTAGCACTTTACTTACCTGGCCCTAGTCTCTGTTCCCTCTAGAATTGGATGGGTTAGCGGGGATAGTGCTAGGGTTAGTTAGTCTTGTTAAGTCCACTCATGTATAAGTAAATGTATTGTGTTATAGTCGTGTCAGAATTGGATGGGTTGGCACGCATTATAGCACTTTACTAACCTGATCTCAGTCAGATTCCCGCTAGAATTGGATGGGTTAGCGAGGATCGTGCTGAGGTTAGCTTATCTTGCTAGAATTGGATGGGTTAGCAAGGATTAAACTTACTCTTGCGAGAACTGGATGGGTTCGCAAGTTAATTAATTAACATTATATCCTTTTTGTCGTAAGAATTGGATGGGTTTACGACAAAGTGGTCGGTGCTCCTGTAAGAACGGGATGGTTTCACAATATATGAATTGATTTTTACTACTGTTATTATTATTTTTTTTTGTTGACACTTGGATAATAGAGATGAAGTAATCTTAATATAAACAGATAAATTGTTAATAAGAATTTACTTATTGAGTATCTTTATATTTGTATGATGTATTTTTTTTTTCTTCTATCTTTATTGTTACATTGAATAATTGCGTAGACATACATGTTTTGTTAATGTTAGCGTTATAAGGGAAATTGTATTTAAATTGTATACAAATATGATTTAGTAAATGAAATTGTAAGTGTCCACCCTCGCCGAGTGTAAGGTTAGCATAATTCACCCAGGTACGTGTATGAGGACATACACGAGGTCAGGATGGACGAGTGTAAGGTTCCTAGTATTAATTACGTTATACAATACAAAAATCGACTATTTCAATAATCGATTTTTGTATCGATCTTTTGAAATAATAAAAATGAGCGGGAACGAGTGAACGAGTGAGGGGAGGGTTGTCTGTGGAACCGGGACGAGAGGGCGGGAAAAAAAGGGAGTGGATGGATATACGGTTTGGCGGCAAGAGATATAAGGGAGATTAGTCTTGTAACCTTAACATTAAAGGATTATTTTGTATTATACGACGAGTTTTATTACAATTGACATATAAAGGAAATATTTCCATTACATTATTTTTTATATTTTTAGATATAAAGATGTCGCCTCGTAAAAAGAGGGGAGAATCTTGGTCAGAAGACGATTTGAAAGCCGCTTTGAGAGCTGTTAAAAAAGGGAAATTAAGTCAGCGAGCCATATCTCTCAAGTATAACATTCCGCGACGAACATTGAGGGACCATATGAAAACCGGCCAAGACGTAAAACGTATGGGATGAAAACCTATTTTAACAGAGGCTCAGGAAAATGATTTGTGTGGTAGAATCAAAAGGTTTGCAAAAATCGGAATACCTCTCACACCTAAATTTATCAGAAAACAAGCCTTTATGTTTTGCGAGAGATTTGACATAAAAAATAATTTCAATTCTACAAAAAGGATTGCGGGTGCTGATTGGCTAAGGCAGTTTTTAAAGCGAAACCCAACGATCACTAAACGAAAGCCACAAATATTAAACCCAGCGCGAGCTCAAAAACTTAACAAAGCAATAGTTAGGGAACATTTTCAGAATGTAAAAGAAATATACGAACCATTAGATATTCTTCAACATCCTGAAAGACTATACAACATGGATGAGAAGGGTTGCCGAATTACAGTCCACAACCAGCACACGGTACTTGCGGAGAAAGGAAGTAAAAGAGTACATCTTATTGCACCCGAACATGCCGAAAATGTGACCATAGCAATGTGTGTTAATGCCATAGGAACCGCGATTCCTCCCATGATTCTTTTTAAAGGGCAAAGACAAAGACCAGACCTTTCAGAAAACTTACCTGCCGGAACTTTAGTAAGAATGGCGCCGAAAGGGTCCATGACTGCCGATTTGTTTGTAGAATTTATCCAGCACCTAGCCAAATACAAAGTTGCGGGAAAATGTTTACTTGTTTTTGATGGCGCTAAGTGTCACTTATCAGTTGAAGCACTCGAAGAAGCTGATAATAATGACATAGTGCTATACTGCCTTCCTTCAAATACAACCCATGAATTACAGCCTCTGGATAAGTCCGTAAACAAGTCTTTTGAACATCATTGGGACGAAGAAGTCTTAAACTATTTATGTGCAAGCGCCGACAGAACACTCACAAAAGCTACATTCAATAAAATATTTACTAGAGTTTGGCCCAAGTGTATGATGCACAGCAATATAGTCAATGGGTTCAAGGCAACCGGTCTCTTTCCCTTCGATCCCCAAGTTATACCAGAGGAAGCATTTGCCCCATCTGTTTTGTCGGAAATGCCATGCCCGCGAACCCAGGAACCTCTGCAGAATCTCATTTTAAACTCATTAGATGATAGCACTGATAGTGATGACATTAATGAAGATCATGATCACCATTTGGCTTTAGTTACTGAGTTATCTACTGTTCAGAGAAAATCTGACTTACTTAATGAAAATATTAACCCAGTTAAGTCCCGTCTTGTGGATTACAGCTCGTCATCCGATAATTCTGACATAGCATCAATTTGGCCGAACCTTAAATCACAAGTTATGATAGAAGAAGATCGTGATTCACCTTCCTTAATACCAGATACCAACTTAATTGGTATTTCTCAATTTGATTCCTCACACTACAATGGCGATAAACATTTAGGACAACATGATCTGGCCGTTCCCAGCTGTTCAGGATTACAAAAATCTTTACGTGACGATCCGGGTTCTGATTCAACGATTTCTGATTTGGATTCATTCGTTACTAGGCCTCTTTTCAATCAATCCAAATATGTTGCTGATCATATCTATAACTACACATCAGACGAATCATCAAGAGATGGAAGTCAGTGTCATCTCAACAAAGGAACAAAAACACCGAAAAAACAAATGATCTGTCCTATTCAAAATGAAACTTGCAACCTAGATGAAGACAACGTACCATTAGCCAGTTTACAACAAGAGAATAAAACGCAATTTCAACAATTCCTACCTACGCCTAATTATGCAAAAAATAAATCTTTAAAACCACGTAAGAAAGCGATGAACTATAAAGGGCAAAGAATCACTAAGGATTTATTCAATGATAAAACTGAAACTAAAAAATCTAATAAACAAAATTACAGTAGCATGAAGAAAACTAAGAAAGAGCAGAAAAAGCTACACATTTCTAAAACACAAAAGACGAATGACAAAAGAGAAGAAAAAATAAGTGAGAAGAAATTAGAAGAAAGACGTGAAAAAGAAAACAAAGCGAAAGACACTAAAAATAAGACTAAGAATAAAAAGAAGATGAACGGGAATAGCGATGAAGTCTGGTACTGTAATGCTTGTGGTGAGATAGAGGAGTTAGACATGGCGCAATGCATAGTATGTAAGAGATGGTACCATGAGGAATGCGTAGGCCTCTCCGAATGTGATATAGAGTTTATTTGTCCATATTGTTAAAAAAAAGTATAGTTTCTATAAGACTGATTAATGTAACTTCAGACTGACTATTTTATGTAAGACATACTTTATTATGATTATCTGGCAATTTTAGTTTAATTGTTATATAAACAGTTAATACTTTTTTTGACAGAGTAGTCGAACTCTATTGACTAGACTTTTTTTAATACTTATTACTATTGGGCGTTATTACCCACTAACGATGTAATTGCGCCCAATGAACATTTAAAAAATATCTTAATTCTGCTTTAAAAATGATTAGTACGCCTTGTGCTCACGATAGGTTATTTGAAAATTATTAAAAAGTTCCTTAAATATGACTAAATACAAAGATACGACGTGTTATGAGGTGTATTCTTAAGTTGGGCAAAGTCTATATTAAATGTTGATTTTATTTGTTTATTTTTAGTGTAATCACGATAGTACAAAGTAAGATTTCGTAAGTTACCTAATTTTTTTTTGTTTTAAACCTAGTTGTTTAATTAAAGCTTAGTTTAAAAAACGGGCGTCAATGGACGCATACTTTTTAATAACGCCCAAATAAATGTTTTTTAAAAAGCAGGCTATTAATAAGTATTATGAGTAAAACTCACTGTAATGTGCCATTATATGTAGAATAAATAAACATAATTTATTTAGAAAGGTGTTTTTCTTCCATAACTATTGAAATACCAAAAATATTTGAAATTAAAGTTAGGTGGGCGTTAATCACCCACTGTACCTTACCTAAGTAATTAATTTTGAGAGTTTAGCGAGGTTAGAAAGAATGTAGGTAATTTGTGTTGCCTTAGAAAAGTGTTTGCATTCCATGTTCATTTTAATTTAGATTAACGCTCATTGTAGAAAAAACCAAATTCCTCGAATACATATAACAACACAATACCTACACATCTTTAGGTACGTTTTTTGGTTATGGAAACTAGAGGTCTTGAACGCTCGTTGGGTGAGTGTAATGCGACAAAGAATGGTTTGCTAATTTGCTACTCTAATTATATCTGTTGCTGTTGTTTTTAAAATTTGGTTCTTCCTGTATTGTAGTTGGTGGTTGACGAGTTATATATAGCCAGGGCGTTGATATCGATGTTGGAGCGAGAACGTCTCGTAGCGGACGGGGCCGGCGTGTGCGCAGTTGCCGCAGTAATGCAGGGTCTGGTACCTGAACTAAGAGGAAAACGGTATGTGAGGACCTCAATAAATCTGTTACAAGCTGGTTAATTATTAGAAAATTCTTACGGCGTTAAGTCTGTCACTTGGCTGTACTGACACATGCAAAAACACGTAGGTAAGAGTCCCATGTTTAGAATGAATCGGCCAGCTCGAACGGCCTTATACCACGGCCTAACACAAGACCTACGTGAAACATTGCATGCGTTATATAATACTAATATCCTATCATCTTCCGTACCCTCCACAAAGCCGGCAGCGCAATTTTACCACCGCTAGTATTGCGGGTATCAATAGATGGACTCGATAGCGTAGCATCAGGTGATCCGTCGGCTCATTATACAGCCTTTCCGATTAGTAGTATTTTTATTTAAGGTAACCAGTACGTGGGTGATTTACATAATTATTTTGTAACTATTTATTATAATGTATTTCAGAGCTGTATGCATAGTAAGCGGTGGTAACATTGACAGTGGCCGACTCGCTCGAACCATTCAACGCGGTCTCGGCTCCAGCGGCCGACTCATGAGGTTCGCGGTGCCAATACCCGACCACCGCCGTGGTTTGGAACAACTCGCCAAGACCATAAGCGATGAAAACGCTGTACTTAAGAGCTTGGTCACAGAACAAATGTGGGTTCACAGCGATGTGGGAACTACCTGGGTAGGTGATATTTGATATTTCTGTTGTGTTGTGTTAGGTATTGTCTTCCTACCAAAAACTAGTAAACTGGCAGGATAAGACTGGAATTAACTAATTTGTAAGCAAATGTTAGTTAATATCATTCACTTATTAATTTTGAGGACTTTCAGGCCAATGTTGTGGTAGAAACAGCAAACGAAGAACACGCGTGCAGTTTCAAGGATCGTTTACGAGACTTATATCCTACTGCTAGGTTCGCAGCCATGGACAGCGTCGATAAACATAAAATTTCAGTACGATAAAATGTGTATAGGCACATGTAAATTGTTGTATGTCTAATGCAAGTATTTGACCAAGTAAAATTTTTGTGTGTAAAGAGGTTATAAATTAAAAAACGAAGATTTTTAGTTTTTTTTTTATTTTTTACTTATACATAAACTTATGCGACTGGGTCATCGCCCTTGGTGGCCCTAGTGTAGATCACCTGTCCGTGGTGTTGGACTACCTGTTTGATTAAACCTGCAACAAAAAAATTAAGAGTTGAGTAGGTACATAATTGATTGTACTAAGGTGTAATATAATAAAGGAGGGAATGTTCAGACTCAATATATCAGTTTGTAACTGTCATGGTTTATCCAGAGAAAATGATCATCATTACATATCAAAATTAGAATTAATAACTTTTTTTCCTACATAGTCAGCATCACACATAAATGCCTCAGGTTTTGCAGGTGTACAATAAAAACTACTAAGTGCTTACTATATGACTTGGTTAGTTGCTTCAAATAATAATGTACAAATGTATGGCCAATCAGATACATACTATAACTAGCAATGTGAATTAATCGATATTCTAAAGAATTGATTATATTGGTGTCTGCTTGTGATGCGACACCTGTTATATATATGGAATGCACATTTAAGCAAATTGTATGAACTCAAAATCAAAATAACATTATTATTGTTATCATAATTAAATAAAACTTTTAAAATAAAAATATTAAATGCATTATGACTAAACCATGACATATTTGAGTAATTTGAATGTTGTTTAATTCAACTACTAAATGAAAAAAGGAATATAAGATCATCATACCTTTTTCTCTGAGCTCAATGAGGGCACGTCTCGCAAGAGAGCCTCGGACCTTCAACCTTTCAGAGACAACAGCGGGTGTGATGAGTTTGTACTGGGGCACTTCCTTGTACAGTTTCTCATATGTGGGCTTGTCAAACAACACCTGGTTGTTCAACTTGTCACGAACTTTTCCTTTGGACCACTTCTGCAAAGTTAATGATAAAATGTTAATAAGCTTATACACAATAGCGAAAGATGGAGAACCAGTCGTGAAATTAGGGTGCTGCCATCAGCCTCAATATATCAGTTTTTACTCTCATAGTTATCAAGTGCAAATGAATAATCATTTGGCGAAACACCTTTTTACTTTGACTATTAAAATTTCAAATATTTAATAAAATTAATTTAAGCTTGGTATTCATAATTCTAATATTCACTTCATTCATTCATAAGCAACTGAGAATGCTTACTGTCACACGCATACATAACCTAACTTTTTTGATACCATGAATTGTTTACCTTCTTCTTGGCTTTACCGCCACCGGAACCTTCCTTCTTCTTCTGTGTTTTCTGGGGCTGCTTGGCCGAAGCCTTAGTGTCCTTCTTGGGCGGCTGAAATCACAACAACATCGTTGAAAACAAGCTAAGCCACGAGGTCGCATCATTGCAAACTTTGCAAGACAAATATTAGACGACACAAACTAATTCTTCATATGCCACTTATTATTTAAACGTTATCACATAAAAACAACTCTAATTAGGGTGAAAATGGTCACGATTTTATTAATTTATAGTGTAAGTATTGGGAGCAGCACATTCACTCACCATCTTGAATCCGGAAAGAAGGGTTATAGAATATTGTCTATGGATTGAACAGCATTGACGTTTATCGTACGTTCGAAAACTTAGAACATTGTTTATTTTTGGATAGCAATACCTAATATCATAGAGAAAATAAATATTCCAATAATATTCTTGTCGTCGATCTTAAAAATATAATAATCATTTTATAATTCTATATGGACACTTTATAGCATGCAATAAAGTTTCGGGCATTTATCGAAACCATTTCAATAAATATTCAATAGTACAAAAACCTTTGAAATAGTCGAAGTAAATACTGACACAACATCATCATCCCAACACTCCACGTTTATAAAAAGACCTCTACCCTCATAGAGAAGTGATGATCATTAAAAACTTAGCGATTTTAAACTTTTAAAATATTGGAAGATCAATGGCGTTTGGATAGTTTTAGAAAGAATTTATAACTTGGAAATGATAAATTGCTACTAACCAAGTTTTGTACTCGCTCCTTGTTCTGCTAAGCTTTGGAGGGCGCCTCAACCTGTGGGTCGCCACGCCGCTTTAGTTTTTTTAATTGGTAGAACAAAGGTTTTATGTGAGGCCGTGGTACGGCATCTTTGCGGAGCGAGAGGAACTAGTAAGCCGTCTGCTCTTTCTACGAATCAGTGATGTTCGCAAAGAAGGAGGTGGAGCGCGTGAGAGAGCTACCCGCCTTACGCCCCAGTACGCGACCTTCCGGGCGTTGGGACGGCGAGCAAGGGTTGCTCGCCACCCGACCCGTACCAGACCCGAGCATATGGCGCGCGCGCATCAAAAAACCAATAGGGGCCCACAGGGGTAACCCTACAGGTTACACTTCTTCTTGCCTCACCCTGGGCGACAGAAGGCATTTTAAGATTACCCACTCACAAAAAATAATGGTAAAAACACTATCCATGTTCAGTCTAATATTTTAAACCCTCTTAAACCATATTCAGTGAAGAAACTTTCACACCCGGCTTTCATGTTAAATGCAGAATAAATGCATTTTTCTTTCTTTCACTTGGCGACCCGATCGTTCCAGGGCCGCAATATTCATAGTTTTATTATTTTTTTACGACAAGTGTCGGAAATGAGATGTACGACATGTATTGGTGTGCTCGGACGGAGCTATACCACGGCCTCACAGAAAATCGGCGAGGAACAACCACTGCGTTGTGTTGCGAATTCGAATCTCGGAAAGTTAGTTTAGTTATTGCAGTAGGGTAGTACAGGTACAGAAATAAAAAGACAATTTCAAAAAGCTCCCATTCCATTTATACCTCAGTCCACGGTAATAATAATAAAACATCTAAATAATTTACATAAATAAACAAGTAAGAAAGAAATTCAATTCACAAAAACAAAAATATTATTAAAAAAATTGTGTTAAATGTGAAATATACCTATTGCAAAATATTTTTTTTTATATATTTGGTATGCTGTAATTTGAGACTAGATTATTGCTACATTTGTGACTTTAGTGATTCGTAATATTCTAATTCGTCATCAGTGACTGATGATCGGAATGATTCTACTCCGTGCAGCATTTCTGAAACTCCCAAGATAACGGAATCAGGGCTTAGTTCGGATTCTTTTACGGCACCTAGAAGCAAAATAAAATTTAATTTATTCGTTTCGTAAATCCAGCAATGTTTTTAAACAAAGGGAACGGCGGTAGTACTGCCACAATTAAAAAAATATATACCGGCATGAAGTTTGGCGACAAGGGCGCGTACCGCTGCCGATCTAGCTGTGGATACTACTTGTAACAGATCAGCGCCTGTGCAACTGTCGGGTAAAGCGGCTGCCACAGCCTCTAAATCAACTTCGTCACGTAATTTGTAACTGAAAAAAAATGCGATCAATAATAATATTTGCGAATTTTTAGGGCAACCGAGTTACCATAACAAATTATTATTTTTATTTGTTATGGTAACTCGGTTTTCGCCTACTGCGCGTAAGTGCAACGTGTCTCGGGTTCAGTTCCTACACGGTCTGTTTGTCTTACAAATATTATTAATATTAATATATTATATTATCTCTGAATGTCTTACAAATATTATTAATATTTGGCATTTTATTATAATACCCCACCACAATGTAACTAAATACTATATATAGAATAATAGGTAGGGGTAAAAAGCCCTAAATCAATCTAAAGGTACTTACTTTCTGCAAAGTGCTTTGAGCACGCAGGTTTTCTCATGTAGGCCCCGGTAGGGGCCAACGTAAATGAGCTTGTCGAGGCGACCGGGGCGCAGTAAAGATTGCTCTAACAAGTCGGGGCGATTAGTTGCACCCATTATGAACACGAAACTCGATGTGTCTGCATCTGAAATTATCATAAACTTTATATTACATAGGCTTTATATTAATATGAAAAAAAGGTAAGGTCTTACTTCCGGTGACGAAAATTTAAAAAATAGTAGAATACGATAGCAAGTCGCTTAATACCTACTATACCTTTGTTACAATAAAAAGAGGGAAACCATTTTCTTTTGTATCTCGTTACAATAGCGTATTTTTACAAAATATTTATTTGAAAACATTGTACTTTAATACTATTCAAAGAACTGTTGTCCTGACTTGCAATACCTATTTCCGTTCAAAAATAAATTATATTATTGTTAACAATACCTATTTTTAATATTTGCATAAGAATGAATTGTAAAGAGTTATTGTCGATTGAATTTACGACATATGGAATAAACAGACGTACTTTATTAATAATAACGCCAAGAAACTTCTTTGCTCTAAAAAGATTTTAAAATATAGATGAAGATTGCTCCCGTACCTCGCACATTTGGCGGTTGTCTGGTTGCGATTAGAACAATTTAATAGTAGTCCAGGTTGCTTTTGCAGTTATACTGGCATCCTTTCTTTCTACAAAATTTTAGAACATCCATCCTCCAGTGGAGGAATAGGGTATCTCTTGTTCTAGAAAATTGTTAAGCCTAACCTAAGGGAAGAGATTTTAAATGCGCTTTCTATAGCAAGAAATGAACTCTTAATCTTAGGAAACTGTCTCTATTTAGTTACTATATTTCTTTTTTTCTCTTCTTTGTGGTTAGGTTGAACAGGATTGCCCATATATTATTCTAATGCGCTCAACTTACTACCGAAACCTCTTCTTGGGCTTGCTGTGAAGGTTGAATATAATTAAGGTGACAAAATACCTTCACCGCTACTAACGCCATCTAGTTCAGCCAGGAGTTGACTAACGACGCGGTCGCTGGCGCCTCCAGAGTCACCGGCTGCTCCCCGCCGCGGTGCCAGTGCATCCAACTCATCCAGGAACACTATACATGGCGATGAAGCGCGCGCCGCTTCGAATACTGAAACATTACTTAATTTTACAACCCATTTTTGGATGAGGTTATATTTTAAATTGATATCAATTTTAATAGCGTAATATTTTAATCTATCTACATATAATCTATGCAAATGAATTTACTAACTCAATCAATAACATACAAACCTTTCCTAACATTTTCCTCTGACTGTCCGATGTACATGTTTAGTAATTCAGGTCCCTTGACGCTCATGAAGCTTACATTTAGTTCCGTGCTAACAGCCTTGGCTACCAACGTCTTACCGCATCCAGGGGGGCCGTACAGCAATATACCTATAAAATTGAAAATATGGTAAATTCGTTATGGTCCATTCTATTCTAGTCAGTATTAGAAATAATTAATAGACTACATGTAATACCATTAAATATTTTGATAATTGAAAGGATTATAATTTCCATATCCGAGTTTTGAAATTCAAATGTATGTACTTACCCGACCTTTTCAAACTGTTATTCTTAAATAGATGTGGATATTTAATTGGAAATTCTATGGTTTTTAATAGTTCTTTCTTCAGGTTGTCAAGGCCGCCTATGTCTTCCCAGTAAACTTTCGGGATTTTTGGCGCGTCCAAATGTTGACTTTGTAGACCTCTTATGGACTCTGTATAGGAATAAAAGATTCGAATTAATTAGTATATAAAGACATAAAAATAGCCAGATTCAGGGGAGCCACTACCTATCTTACCATAAGGTGAGTTGAGGGCTTGTGTGATATGTATATAAAATATGAGTTGTTGTGTGTAAAAATCTTAGAGAGCATTAATTTGAACTCCAGCATTTTAATTGAAATATGGAAATATATAAATTATGTACTTTATATATAAGTTATGAACTCACCCAAAGCCGAATTAAAATCTTCCTCATGTACTAAATGTAAGTCAGGTTCCGGTGGCAATTGATTGTAGCTATTATGTTGTTTCAAATAAGACTCCCGAATAGCGAAGTGAAGAAGAGTATCAAGGTCACCGTATAGGAATGTTTCAGTTTTCGCCGCAACCCTTTGCAAGACATCTCTTGCAGACTTACTTAGGCTAACTATTTCCTTGTCCGTGCTTATTTGCTCTAAACCTAACTGTTCTTCTCCATCTATGTTCAGCTGCATGACAGTGGCAAACCACTCCAACATTTCATATCTTTGCTGCACATTCAGCCTGGGAATATGAAACTTGTCTAAGAACATCCGTAATACATTTGGCTTTAGGTCCTGTCTCTCTGTGACAGCAATGAATATTATTGGGTACTTTGTGTAGTTTTGATATAAATCTGTGATTGTGTTCATGAAGTATTCTAACACTCTGCAGTCTTCATTGTTTTCTGGATCAACAGCAAATACCTTAAAATATAAGTTCTCACATTTAATTACTCAATACACTAATCACTTTTTTTATGGTATAAGTCGGCGAGCAGACGAATTACGTGATGGTAAGCAATTGACGCCGCTCATGGACACCCGCAACACCAAAGGAGTTACGAGTGTGTTGCCGCCCTTTTGGGGCTTGCGGATATAAGGATCGGGAAGGGATTGGGCCTCTGGTAACGTCACTCACATGGCGAAACACAACACTGTGGGTTGTTTTACGCCGGTATTCTGTGAGGCCGTGGTATCACTCCGTGGTATCGAGCCGACCCATTCGTGCCGAAGCTTGGCTCTCCCACACTTACCATGTTTAGAGTATTATAAAGGTAGGCAATTTCTTTTTATATTTATTTATTACATACCTCAAAGTTATCTAGCACCACAATAACAGGAGCTGCAGCTTTCGCTTTCTGAACTGTAGCATTTATTTTGCTTTCTGTTTGTTTGGCAGTGGAGCTCTGCAAAGCATTGCAGTCTACTGGTAGAGCATTCATTCCTGGAAATAAAGACACAATACTATGTATTAGATTATAAATAATAAAATATTGGCATGCTATGTGAACATAGAATAACATTCTCTTTAATTATTGAACTGTACCAATATTAATATTATTGTAAGAGTTTTTGGAATGTGAATTCACATTCACATGAATGCCACTAGTGTAGAGTACACTGGCATAAATATTAAATTGATAAAAATGAACCCACTCTGGTATATTTTTGTTACTTTTGTTAGAGCAAGAGTATTGCGACCTTTTTTTAATCTCTATGCATTTTATGATAGTATTTTGAATTTTCTTTTTTGAGTTGACAAGAGAACGTCAAGTAATAAATATGTGTTCTGCCAAGTGTGTTTTTACTAATATCCTATAATATATCTTTATGAATTTTTCTTCCAAGAGCTACTCTGTGAAGGAGTGTACCTACGTAGTATCACACTCCTTCAGGTTATGATCACCAGCGGAAATAGAAAGTACGATCATGAATAACTCTGGGAGCAGCGGCAATGGTACGCATATACAATCACAATCGTATCCATCCCAAGGAGTAAGTATGAGTTTACCAGCAATAGAGAAACTTGATGGTAGTACTGATTATAATACATGGAAGTTCATGATGGAACTTTATCTAATTCATGAAGACTTGTGGGAATACACTCAAACAACACCAGCTGCTAGTGATGTTTCCGGCTCTAAAAGAGATCAGAAAGCGAGGGCAAAAATCTGTTTAATGATTAAACCACATTGTTTGATACACGTACGTGAATCGAAGACTGCAAAAGCGGCATGGGATGCCCTGAAGACTGCCTTTGAAGACAAGGGCCTGAATAATCGATGCAGACTTCTTACAAAGTTGGTGAGCCTGAAACTAGAGCAATTTTCTTCAATCAGAGACTACATAACTGCCATAATGACAGTAGCGCAACAGCTACGTGATCTGGGCAAAAAGGTAGATGATGAATTACTTGCAGCGTTGATGCTACAGGGGTTGACAGAGACTTTCCAACCCATGAGGTTAGCAATAGAAAACACAAACATAGAATTGACTACAGATTACGTCAAAACGAAATTACTTCAGATGGAGGATACTTATCAAGCAAGTCCTAGTACCGTGACAACCGCATTACAAGCTAAAAATAAAAGTCAGAAAGATAAGTCACACAAGAATATGAGTAGATCACGTGTCGTTAAGTGCTTCATATGCAAAGAGAACCATAAGGCTAAGGATTGTCCGAAAAACCCTATTCAAAAGAAGGATGCCTTAACCTCATTAGCGTTAGCAACAGCAGCACAAGGACATGGAGAATGGATTCTCGACTCCGGAGCTTCTAACCACATGACAAATCGGAGAGATTGGCTTAAAGACTTTAAGAAATTAGACAAATCAATTGTAATAGCTTGTGCAAATGGAGAAACTGTGGTTGGTGAAGCAATTGGTAATGTAGTCAACGAGGATATGGACGTCTCAATTAATAATGTTTTGTATGTACCTAACTTAGCTACAAATTTACTCAGTGTTAGCACAATTGTAAATAAAAACCTTGTAGTTGTATTTGAGAAATCTGGCTTTAAGATAATCAAAGCAGATGGATGTAAGGTTTCCGGGGAGACCTTGTATGAAGGTACTGCAAATAACGGTGTCTATAAAATACAGTATTGTTCACAGGAAGTAGGTCTAGCTTCAACCGCTGCTGACGAAATAATATTGTGGCATAGGCGAATGGGACATCTAGGGGTACGGAACCTAATGTTACTTAAAAACAAAATGGCAGATGGGGTAAGTTTTTCTAATACTGCTTCTAAGCTAGAGTGCGAAGCGTGTGCAGTAGGAAAACAGACCAAGAACCCTTTCAAGAAAACTGGTGCCACTAGGGCAAGTGAGGTCTTAGGGTTAGTCCACACAGACGTGTGCGGACCCATGAGAGAGAAGTCGTACGGAGGCTCACGATATTTTCTCACATTCATTGATGATTTCACTAGAAAAACATTTGTATATTTCTTGAAAAGTAAAGGAGAGGTCTTTGAGAAGTTTGCCGAATTCGTAAAACTTACTGAACGTCAAACTGGAAAGAAATTTAAAATTATCAGATCTGATAATGGCAAAGAGTTTGTCAATAAGCGTATGGATGAGTTCTGTAAAGCAAAAGGGATCTGTCACCAACTGACAATAGAGTATACACCCGAACAAAACGGAGTTGCTGAGCGAGCTAACAGAACTATCACTGAAAAAGCCAGGACAATGTTAGAAGAAGCTGGTTTAGGCAGAAAATTGTGGGCAGAGGCAGTCAACACCGCCGTGTATTTAAAAAATAGGTCTCCAACTAAAGCCTTGAGAAACAAAACGCCCGAAGAAGCTTGGACTGGAAGAAAAGTGAACTTAAGCCACCTCAGAGTGTTTGGATGTAAAGCTTATCTTCATGTTCCAGATCAGAAGCGCACAAAATGGGATCCTAAGGGCACAGAGTTAGTCCATGTTGGATATGGCGAAAACGGTTATCGCCTTATTAACCCTACGACAGGAGTGTTGCACAGAGGTAGAGATGTTATATTTTTTGAAAACTCAAAAGTACAGCTACGTGCTCCCGTTAATCAAGCCGTCCCGCTACCGCTGACGGATGTTACGGTTGAGTATGATAGAGTTTCAACTCATCATGAAGAGCCAGAAATTCCTGAAGAACCTGGAAATCCAGCTCTTGAGAATGTTGAGGTTGAAGATGAGGTTTGGGAATCATCTGACGAGGGGAATGAAGCAGATCCTGAGGATGGTCTTGTAGAAGAAGGTAGAGAGCTACCAGTAAATGACAATGGGCCATCAGATAGAAGATATCCGCTTCGAGAAAGAATACCAAAAGCATATCCAGATTTTGTAACTTACCAAGCAGTCAAGGCATCGCCAGACCCTTTAACTGTTCAGGATGCATTATCTAGAGAAGATGGAGACAAATGGAAAGCCGCAATTGAGGAGGAGCTGAGAGCCCTCGAGAAGAATAAAACTTGGACGTTGGTGAAGCAGCCAAAGTCGTGCAACATTGTTGATTCGAAATGGTTATTTCGAATTAAAGAAGAGGCGGGGGGAAAGACTCGTTATAAGGCACGACTTGTAGCAAGAGGATTCAGCCAACGGAGAGGAGTCGACTACTTTGAAACTTTTTCGCCTGTAGTCAGACATAGCTCATTAAGAGTCTTAATAGCCTTAGCCGCCCGTTTAGAGTTAGGCATAGATCAAATGGACGTTAAAACGGCATTTTTGAATGGAGACTTAAATGAAATCGTCTATATGAAGCAACCAGAGGGGTTCGAGGTAAAGGGCAAGGAGAATTATGTCTGTCTTCTAAAAAAATCTTTGTATGGACTGAAACAAGCGCCACGAGCGTGGAACGCAAAGCTTCACTCTGAACTTATAAGACTGAAGTTCAGAAGATCTGAAAATGAGCCATGCGTTTACACCCGGTCACAGAATGGAAACATAATGATTATTGCTGTGTATGTAGATGACATTTTGATATTTTGGAACAATAAGCAAGAGATGTTCAAATTCAAAGAAGAGTTGAAGTCTAGATTTGATATGAAAGATCTCGGCAAAGCTGAGTTAATGCTGGGAATTAATATTGTTCAAGATGTCAACAAAATTAAACTGCATCAGGAGAAGTATATTGATGGACTCCTGAAGGCATTTAATATGGAAGACTGCAAACCAGTAGTTACACCAGCAGTACCCGGTCAACGGCTAGAGAAGCCTACACATGGAAGGAGACCAGATGAGAGAATTCCATATCGAGCACTGATAGGTTCGCTCATGTATGTAGCAGTATGTACAAGGCCTGACATTGCTCATGTGGTTAATTATCTTAGCCAGTTCAATGAATGCTATGAGGAACAACATTGGATTGTAGCAAAGCGAATCCTCCGTTACCTGAAAGGAAGCAAGACGCTTGGGTTGACATACAACAAACAAAAATACCCAGAAGTTGTTGTTGGTTACGCGGATGCCGATTATGCAGGAGACGCTGATCGACGTTCATATTCAGGTTCCGTGTTCCTTATTCAAGGAGGTGCAGTTTCTTGGCAAAGCACGAAACAACGAACGGTGGCTATGAGCACAGCCGAAGCAGAATACGTGTCGCTATCAGAAGCTGCAAAAGAAGCTGTCTTTCTCAAAAGGCTGATTGCAGAGATGACTGGTAAACAGGAAGAAACAATTCGGATTTTCTCAGACAGCCAGTCAGCAATTGCTATAGCCAATAATCCTGTACATCACCAACGTACAAAACATGTTGATGTGAGATATCATTTTATACGCAATGCTGTTGAGTCGGGAGCTATAAAATTGGAGTATCGGGAAACAGATAAGATGGTAGCAGATGCTCTGACCAAGGCTCTCCCCAGAGGCAAGTATGAGTGGTGTGTGAATGGTATGGGATTGCGTGTATAAAGTAAAGATGTGTGTGTACATATCATATGCATGAGATTAAGGAGGAGTGTTAGAGCAAGAGTATTGCGACCTTTTTTTTAATCTCTATGCATTTTATGATAGTATTTTGAATTTTCTTTTTTGAGTTGACAAGAGAACGTCAAGTAATAAATATGTGTTCTGCCAAGTGTGTTTTTACTAATATCCTATAATATATCTTTATGAATTTTTCTTCCAAGAGCTACTCTGTGAAGGAGTGTACCTACGTAGTATCACACTCCTTCAACTTTTACCATCTTAGCACATTTTTTGTATGTAATTTATTAGAAACTTACCATTGTATTTGGCTAATATCTTGATAAGCAGGTGTCTACCAGATCCAGTAGACCCGGTCAGGAGCAGCATAGGAATAATAGGGGTTGACATTGATGATAAGAGGTCATCTGAAATTGTTTTTTAAGCATTGAATATCAGTGACTGATGGAATCTATATGAGTTTTATAGCTAAAATGTTTTTGGATTGTCAACAATTTTAACATTACAGTTAGTAATCAAATTTTATTAATCCACATGAGTAATGACATAGATACTTACTCATTTCACCACTTAAAAATGGAAGGATTGTCTCTTGTAGCTGTTCAAATTTTTGCCTCAGTCCAGTTGGGCACAGATGTAGAATATTTTTCTGATTTTTATCCTGCTGTGGTTTGAAGTATTCATCCTTTGGCTTAAGGCTGTGCACATTTTCTCCTAATGTAAGCTGAGTTACACCTTTAACTATGAAATATGCTTGAACTATTTTGTCCTTACATACATTATTTGTGTTAGAAAGATCGCTGCAGACCTTTTTACATTTAAAATAAAGCTTTCCAGTGGATTGAACTAAGTCTAAATACTTATAATGATATTTTGCAGTCATATCAGGTGTGAGTTCTATACTAAATATGTCATTTGTGCTGACTAATTTTGGTGTTTCAAAATAGTTGCTTAAAACCTCTTTGATGAAGTCATTGGCTAGGTCGTAGTCATTCACTATGAGGCTTACTTCAGCAGCTGCTGCTATTTTGGGTGAGCTGTCCAAGCTGGGCATTGGGTGGAATGTCACACTAATATCTTTGCACATGTTTATACCAAAACATGATGTTATGTTATAGAACTCATTTTCATTAGTAAATGCTATGTTCTCTGAGATATGTTTAGACCCAACTATTGGTACGATTCTCACATTATCCACACAGTTTCGTGCTGCATCAGTCCAGAGCTTCTTGTGTATTTCTGACGTCATAAAGTGAAGACTCAGTTGTATTGCTTTATTGTCACTTTGTTTCTCTTTGTGTTTTCTTTTCTCATCTGGTGTTAATTTTAATGCCACCCAAAGTACTCCATTGTCTAAGTAGAATAAATTTTCACTGCCCAGTTGAATGAACTGCTCTTTAGAAACAATTATACATTTATTTAAGAGGACAGGCAAGTTCTCTTCAAGTTTCTCTTTTATAAGTGATTTTACTATATTTAATGGAATAGTTTTCACTTCAAAGACATCCATATTTTTTCGATTAGAATTCCTCCTTTGGCACCAAATTCTATACTTTATCGAAAGGAAAACGAGGAAGTAGTAGCAGTTGTACTTTGGATATACAACTTTTAAACAAAATTTTAACACCCATAGTTTCCGCGAAATTTGTTCATTCATAGTAACTTAAATTTACTGATAGGACACAATTTTTGATGTATAAAAATAAAATGAACTAAAAGAAGAAAACAAAAAATATTGAAAATCGTATTTTAAGTTTTATTTCTCGCACATTTTTATTGAATCAATGATAAACTGTGAAAATGATAACAATATTTTAACAATGTCACATTGCACTTTTGACATCTTACTTTGACTTTGACAACTGACATTTGATGTAGATTTCAGAGTTGAGTTTTAAAAGGTAGCTTTAAAAATCTGGAATTAATTTTTCGATATTTTGGACTATTTAAATTTTATAAGTGCTGTATTATGTAGGTTATAAGTTTAATATCCAAGAGTAGAATGCATCAACAATTTCGGTCTACCTGTCGATTTGACATACTTCACTTGACTTAAATTATGTTTGTAAATATAGAGATTGAAAAAGGTATATTCAATTAAAATGTTTCTAACATGGGCGTCTTTCAACAACATAAGAATGCTGATGATGGCTTGTATGCCTGTAGTAATATTCTATTTAATTTGGCTAGTCAACACATCGGAAGGGATTCGAAGTGAGGAGGGCACCCTATTAGATCTAGTCTGTTGGCCCGATGGTAACGCTATACCTGTTATTATAGCATGTGGCTCTATTATTGCAGTTGTTATAGAGGTATGTGTATACGTAATTTACTTAAATTTATATTTTAGTGTCGATTCATCTCCTGAAAAATATGGACTAAATCGGAGGCAGCCCTTAGGGCTAACATGTTTAGAAATCAAAGAAAGTTCCCAATATCAGTTTTTATATGTTTTTGTTAATGTAATGCAATATTGGTAAAAATCGATGTAAATGCTTCGCATTGCTTTGATTTTAGGTATTAATTTCATACATACTTAATAACTTCGTACCTAAGCGTTTTACCTGTAAATGTAGGTAGGAAAGTTTATTTAGGTACCTACTAATCTACCAAATTTGTTTTTCCCTTAGCTTTATGGTTTATATCAGTTATTCAAAGCTGGCTTACCGAAAAGAGAATATGACGTCACTAACGGACTATTCTACTACGTTTGGGCGCTTATAATAATGATCATAATCTTTCTGGCAATAATGTTTTATTCTGGACTTCAATCGACTATAATAAGAGGTTATTTACATACTTAATCATTTTATTTTATTAGTGAAATTCTTTTGTTTTTCGTAAGGAGAGTAGTTCCCTCACGCGCTTCGCCTCGTCCTTGGCGAACATTAGGTTCTGCTTCGTATAAAAAGGAGGCGGATTCCAGTTCCTCTCGCTCCGCACCATGGCCTCAACTAAGACCGGATGCGAAAGGTTGCCGCTGCCGATCATTTCCCTGAGGACGCGGTAGTGCTCAGACCAAACAGGATCCACCGCCACCGTATGTTCCAAGTGTCCTCCAGGTGGTTATCCTAGCAACCTATAAGCGTTAGGTATCCTTATTTATGTAATAATAACACAGGTACATTTTATCGCAGCCAAAATAAAAGGTGGAATAACAAAGGCCATGCTCAGATACTCAAGTCACCTGCCGTCAAAAGTGGCTATAGACCGACTCCAGACTAGATTTCATTGCTGTGGCCGAGTAAATTTCCAGGAGTGGTTCTATATTCCCTGGTACATGAACGAGGAAAATGTTGATTCAAAGAGTTTGTTAGTACTTTCTTATAAGATTTACGTACCTACCTACAGTAAACTGAATAAATTTAGTAGTCTGTATTTTACAATTGAGTTCGGACAGACAGACTAACCATTTACCGATTTATCTAGGAAGTAAGTAGGTACCTTATAACGTAGATATCTAGTAATTAACTGTTGAAGTCGACAACACCACCGCTGTGGTCCAGGCTATATTTAAAAATAGTTGCAGAATTATGAGCCTTTACATTTTAGTCACCGTTGTATTTTAAATATTTAATGAATTTAAATGAATTTTACGTTTGCCCAAATGGAACGTAACATTTGTGATTGGTACAGGAAATGTTATTTGTTCCAACAGTTCAAACCACAAGTTCGTATCGGACAACGTCCCGTACAGCTGCTGCTCGACAGAAGAACTCTACCCCTGCATACATCATGGTGTTACACAAATGGGCACCATTTACAAATACAATCCTGCGGTTAGTGCATTGCTGTGTAGTGATTCTTCGTATATATACGTATAGTTATGTATGTAGTGTCGTAACTAGTGCGGTGCCAGCAGTGCCCAGGCACAGGCCGCATACCCAGATGAGACGCAGAAATGTCCAGACTAGTATCTAGTTTTACCTTATGTATGTATAGAAGTGGGTGCAAAATTATGCATTTATTGGCCTCTAAATTATATTTAGGCACCTAAGTAAAATATCAGCCGATTTATTCGTTAACAGTGTCAGTAGTCCTGTAGTAGGTACAGGCTACTGTAGAAAGGTACCTACTTTTTAGTAAGTACCTAGTTTCCAATCCAATCGTAGAAATTGTTTAGTAGATACCCATTACAAAACAATAGCGTGCTGGGATTCTCTACGGCACTGCTTAGTATAAAGTGGACTAAATCGTGACGTCACACCATATTTTAAATCAATGTAGGTGAAGTCGAAAGACTTCGAAAGTAGGTATTTGATTATGTAAGAAAAGAAAAAAATAGTTCAGTATGTGCTTAATGTTGTAAATAAATCCCCAGTTGCACCATCATCAGGTATGCTCATTTGCCCCCTTTAAAATACCAACCAGATTTATCAAACCATTTCAGCTAGTCAGTCGAGTCGTGTTAGGTACTTAATAATAATATAACCTTATATTTACAGACACAATTAACGATATGGGACGCAGGTTGTGAGGAGAAACTGATCAGCGAAATGATGACGGTGTCGTGGCGGTTCAACGCTGTCATGGCGCTTATTATTATGGCAATGGTAAATTGCTATATCTATCTAGATATACTGACTACATAAGTACCTATAGCAATTGAGCTTTAGATGCCGTAGTTGTTGGCACTGGCTTTCGGCGGCGGGCCATTTGTTAATTACAGTAGAAATAAATAGGTCCTATCTACTTAGGTTCGATGTCTGATAATACCCGCCTTCTAGGACATGATGTCCTATAAGCCCACTGCTTAGCATAGGCCTCTTCTCGCATGGAGAGGGTTTGAGTATTAATCACCAGACTTTGCTCAAGGGGTATTGGCGATTTCAAAGTCATTATAAGACTAAGTCCAGGTTTTTTCACGATGATTACTTTCAACGTATGTCGGTGGTGTTAAAATAATCATAGGAAGTACACATAACTCGGAAAAGGTCACATTGGTATTTGTTAGGTTTCGAACCCGCACCCTCATGCATGAGAAGCGCGCGGCTTAACCTGCGGACTACCACGACCACAATAATTTTTACCTACTTAGATTTTTTTATTTTAACTAAGTTACTCTTGCCACAGATAATACAAGTGATCGCAGTACGCTACCTCCACACAGCTTACAGAAGCGGTTTGCACGTTGGCAACCAGATCACTTGCAAAGCATACCTTTTACGCTCTTTAACAGACACCGAACCTCTAAAGGATCAATCTAGAAAGAAAGTATTCAAAAAGAGAAGAATTCGACAAGCTAGAACTTTGCATTGGGTATCCGTGTCGTATAGGCGAGGAAAGAAAAGATATTTGACGTCATCAGCATCCGATGTTAATAGCTCTGATGAATTGTTGAAGCCGATTTACGAATAGTTTTAATGTGATGTTATTGAAAAAGTTAGATGTAAGAGTGCGTACAGTTCAGGGTTGACTTATTGGTTCTTAAGCTGGTATCAAATACATATTTAAGATTCCAACTGTCAAACATGGGTTTACTGTGTCACGAACGAAGGGCAACTATAGAACAAAGTGAAGCGTCGACGATTTAGAGTAAGAAGTCTAGGAATGAAGTAACCACAAGCTTAACTACCTATATAATATTATGGTCAAGGAGTCAAGGTGTGTTTTCTCCGTCTCTTTTACACTGTTTTGAGTTGGACTTTAACATAAAAACTATATAGTTTCAAAATAATGTCTTTATTTTTAATATAAACTAATGGTTTTATTATACAATACTTAATATTAAAGTATAAGTATTTAGTCGAGAATGGCTTCCAAGTACCCACATAAGTATGGTACCTACAAACTATGTATTTTTCTATAAATCTTTATTTACGAAGGAGTGTATCGTGTCTGGCTCTGCGATGTCTTTGAGGCGGTGAAGGTTGTCCCACCAGTACGGCAGCATGTGTTGGTGTATTAACTTGAACCAAGGAGTGATAGGGTCCTTCTGGTTTTCTATAAAACTGATTGAAACCAATATGAATTAATCTTATGTCGATAAATGAATTGTTTATAAAATGCATTCATACATGATTTTTTTTATGGTATAAGTCGGCAAACGAGCAGACGGATTACCTGATGGTAAGCAATCGGCGCCGCCCATGGACACCCGCAACACCAAAGGAGTTACGAGTGCGTTGCCGGCCTTTTGGGGATGGGGGTTGCGGATATAAGGATTGGGAAGGGATAGGGGAAGGGGAGGGATTGGGCCTCCGATAACCTCACTCACACGGCGAAACACAACGCTGTGAGTTGTTTCACGCGGGTATTCTATGAGGCCGTGGTATCACTCCGGTCGAGCCGACCCATTCGTGCCGAAGCTTGGCTCTCCCACACTTATATTATAGCTCACCTGTCCATTTTGCTCCGAGCGACATATTTGACGTCATCAATTTCATTAGGGTTGGGTTTGACTTGCGCATCGCTTCTCAGGATGAGCACGTGGTCGAGTTCGTATTCACCCCACTCTCCATCGCCTGGGTCCGCGTATATAAACCGTGATATAAGCGTGAAGTCTTCACGGTTTAACTGTAAACATGGTCTGTCTAATTTATAATCTTAGTCAACATTTAAGTTTAGTACTCGCACAGCACTTTTGTAGTCATTCACTATTGAATTTTTATCGCTCTATCTCACCTGATGTTTGGGTATCCCTAATTCCTCGTTCAGTCTGCGTATAGCGGCGGTGGTGACGTCCTCAGGTACACCGTCGATGAGTAGTGGATGGCTACAGCATGTGTTTGTGATGGCATTAGGATATGTCACCTTTTAACAAACAATCATTTTTAAGCTGACATCTACCTAAAAATACATCTTGATTTTTTATATCTTTATTTAAGATATTTCAGAGGTCTACATAGGTATCTTGATCTAAAAAGCTTAAGGGCTTGAAGGCCTAAAGGGATTTTATTTGTAGCCACTTATTATACCACTGACGATACAAAATTTGGGTGGATAGCTATTTCACGGTTTGGAATTAGATTTAATGTAATATTTACTTTTTGACTAGCCCTCTTCTGTACAAGCAGTTCTCCCGCCGAATTGAACATGAGTACACTGAAGGCTCTGTGTAGGGGCACCATGCCGTTAGGTCCCACTCTGTGACATTCTCTCTTGGTTGCAGTCCCTATGATGTTGTCCCTCTCATCCACTAGTAAGCACATGTCGTTCTTTAACGATGCTGCCTGGAAAAGAGCATTGTTGTCAGTTTGTTTAGACGTGTTTTTTTTTGTGACGGGAAATTCATCATATGGTTTGGGAGGGAGGAGTGTCAGACTGTAACTGACTAAAATCTAAAAAAAATCCCCGTTCCTACTCTTGCTCTGGGCCGAGGCCGCGGTGCCTCGTTGCGCTTGCCCCTCAACCCCGGCTTTGTTTAGACTTAGCGTAACCGATAGATACCTAGCTTAATAAATTACATAAAACAAATATTGAATGACACATTAGCTTCTGCCAGAGGCTTCCAGAGTACAATTGTTTTGAGACAATTTTTGCCCAAATCTGCCTTCCCAATTTGTAAGTTTCAGTGCCAAATAGATATTCACAATTTGTTCTTACATAAAAAGATGGTTAGTATCTATGAAAGTTTTAGCGTTTAGTTTGAATTTTTTAAGACCTAGGTTTTTACAAATGCTTGAAAGAATGTGGAACAATTTAAGATTTAGGTAAGTACTTACTTTGACTTTGTTTATAGAACTGTTTGCCCATTTATTTTTGATTTCTGTACGATCTACCTACCTAATGATTGGTTATTATTTATAAATTAATTGTAGGTACTTTTAATACTAAATTAGAAATTAAATATAACGTATTACTACCTGAACATCCGTTATATCTCTGGCTTCGGTAGACTGGTTCATAGCGGCGTTTATACAAACAAACTTTTTGTCCACTCGCGCGGTATTCCACAACATCCGACCACACTTGTAACTCGTGACAACACTACGAACCAACATATTTAAAAAGGTTGTCGAATAAAATGCCGAAATTTTTATTTGAAAAATGTATTTATTTAGTAAAAACTCGCATTATAATGATAATTCCATGAAACGTTTAAGTACTTTATTGTTCACCTTCGAATACATTGCGGTGTGATGTAAATAAATGGAAATGAGTTATCGATGTATGAATATTTATTAGGTGCCAGTGGCTTGGGTTGCTAGACCATTAATTTTTTATATGGATGAAAAGATCTTCGTCATTACTAAGGATAGGTAGGTAGGCAAAAGATGAATAGGATTTTTTTATTCACAACAGCTAAGCGGTAATTGGTGCATGTAATTGAAATGATAAAAACCAATAAGTAGCTAAATAAGCACCTCTGGATTCTTCTTTCTGGATGATGATTATGCTAAGCCCGAGATTTAAGGCCCCTGGGTCACGTAAGTAACAGTCGCGCATCTAGTTGCGATAGTGATAACCGTAGCTTATCGAATCCAAACTGCACGATAGTGCCAATTCAGCGTTTGACGTCTTTTTTGGTTGAGGACCAATCCGAGATTTTCTCACTTTTTTGAGCGTAAAAGTAAAGCCGATAAGTAATCGATCGCTTTTGGCACTCCATCGGACGCTTTACATACCATTACATATAGTGGCGCGAACACAATTATTATTTTTATGATGCAAATCTGCAACTAATAAATTGTAAAAATATAAACAGAGTCATAGTTTTTGTAGTACTTACATTTTTCTGAAGTAAAACAAAAAGATAATCAATAATAAATATATTTATTGATGCATTTATAGAAATTATACAGGGCATGTGTTCACCTTTGCAGACAATTCTCTTATATCTTCTCTTTGCCTAAATTTTACAAAGCACCCGTCGTTATTATGTATCGACTATGTACAACATTACAAAATTATTATGTGGAGATAAATGAAGAAACAAAATTAATAGAACCATTTGATAACTGGTTTCTATATAAAATAAAAGCATTCCATTATTACTGGAGGTAGTTATGATACTAACTAAACTACAAACAATAGAAACCTATGCAATTAAATAAAAACTTTTATTAAATAGAAAAAAAAAACACATTTACCATTGTCCTGATATTAATATAACCAATAATAAATATAAAATTGATTGCCTATGCTACTAGTGTTTGAAAGGCGATGTGTAAGTTATTTAGTTTCGTTCATGAACTTCTGTATCTTGTCGGGCTCGGCAAGTTCCTTGAGACGGTGCAGGTTGTCCCACCAGAGCTTCAGCCGGTGACGACGAATCATGTTGAACCATGGCGTAATTGGACCTTCTAGGGTTGGTAAGAACCTGGTGAACAAAAAGTATAGTTAAACAATGTTCTTTATGCTTCGCTGGAGTCGCGTAAAAGTAGCATTCAATTTTGAACTTGTTTTAGACATTTTTGATAACAGTGCAGGTACATGTCGGTGCTGTGACGTGCTTTTAAGATCGAATGCACGACTGTGATGGAAAGAAGCGTTGTACCTCCTAACTTACCTTCACAGCACTTTATTAAACCCATTCATAATATTTGACTAACCAACTGGCACCTATCTATCTATCTACTACTTACCCTACCACAATACCATTGAAATGCTTGCTTTTTGCCAATTTCACACTCTTTAACTCTCAACTAATAAATAAGAATAAAAAGACAACAACAAATGTTTGATTGATTCGGTTTTCCATACCATTCAGTTACGTTTTAACATTTCAGAAGGATTTTGTCTAGTCGTCAAAAACTAATTTATTGTCTTACTAGTGACGATAATCTTGTGATTAGGGTTACCACCTTTTTTTGCAGTTAATAAAGTACATTGGTTATTATAGGTAAGAAAAAAAAGTACATGGGATCAAGATAAAGTACAATTTATTTTTCTTTATTTTTATATTTTTAAAACATGTTTTTTATTGCTTTTTGCAGTTTGCATTAAATAAGTATCTCTACTAAAACATCTTTACAGTCTTTATTAAATTCAGAGATGTTTTGTTTCTTTCATCTCTTTCGCTGTTCATCACAGACTTTTCAAAATCCCAAAAAAATCAAATCATACAAAATAAAGTATTTTCGTGTACTTTATTGTTCTCATAAAGTAAAGAGTACAATTATATTATGAAATAGAGTACAATACTTTATTATAAAGTACGGGTGGCAACCCTACTTGTGATATACTTACGCGTTAAACTCAGCTTTGGGTACGAAGCAATATTCCGAGATCTCGTTAGAGTTTGGTTTGACCTTGACATCGCTTTGGAAGAAGAGTATGTGGTCGATCTCGTGCTCTCCCCACACGCCGTCGCCGGGGTCGTGGTAGTGCACGCGCGTCATGTACGTGAACAACTCCGGGTCCATCTGCGACATAAAAATTCAATATCTATATAAATAAAAATGGTTCACGAAAATGTATATCTGTACGCCCGTAGCTGTCGCGACACCGAGTTTGATTTTTTACTATATTTATTGTGTTTTTTATCATTAGGACAAGTTTTAAGGAAGTTCAGTAGAAATACATTTGTACTACTCCTACACTTCCCCTTGTCTTCCCACAGGAGGCAAACAGCAGACTAGGGGACAACACATTTCACAGACAAGGCATAAACTCTTTGAGAAATAGGAATCTGACAACCTATGATCTGTTATCAAGGAGCCTCATAACTCGCTGTTTATTTGTATGTACAGAACATACAAATGTCATCATACTAATATATTAAGATGTAGTGTAAATACCTGGTCTAAAGGAATGCCCAGTTCATAGTTAAGCCTTCGTCTAGCAGCTGTGATTACATCTTCAGCCTTATCATCTATGTACAATGGGTGGCTGCAACATGCATTTGTGTAATAATCTGGGTATGTAACCTGGAATCAGAAAACAAAAATTACTGTGTGATATTTTAAATATATGATCCAAAGCATTTAATTAATATGTGGCAGATCATCCAGAGTTCCATTTTAAATAAGGAATGCTATACAATTGTCCAATCCGAATAGTAGTAAATTACAGTATGTTTGATAACATCTTTCATATCTAACAAGGCAAAGTCCATTTCAATCATCACCACTGTAAGAATATTATTTTCATACAATAACAATGTAACTAAAAAAAATATTTACTTTTTGACTAGCCCTCCTTTGCAGAAGCATGTCTCCTCTCTTGTTAAACAAAAACACACTGAATGCCCGGTGGAGTAATATCTTGCCATCTTCTCCTACTTTGTGGCATTCTCTCTTAGTAGCTGTCCCAAGGAAGTTGTCTTTCTCATCTACTAACAAGCAAATGTCTTTATCCAGAGCTTCCAACTGTAAGACAAAACTAAAGCATTAGTCAGAGTCATTATTTGTAATTGATACCTGAACTGATTTTGACACTACTGACATTAGTATTGAAATAATTTTTCATTTACTACAATTACGGGTTTTATTTTGTAATAATAATTAAATCTTCTTGAAATGAATTTTCAGTACATATTTTAAGAGACGTGTTCAGGTTATGCATACACATTATACAATTATTCAAACAGTGTAAGATTTAATAATTTGGAAGGCCCCTAAAGACTGAGCAATTATTTAAAAAAATACACTCTATAAAATACTTTGAGCATGAAATTAGATTAACTATAAAAAATTGTTGACTTCCATAAGAGTCTTGCCTAAACTAATGATAAATCTGGTAGTTTTAAGACCTACCTGGACTGGATCAACTCCATCCTTCTCTTCTGGCTGAGGCTTCAGAGGCTCTGAAGCAAGCAGCCGCTTTTCAAATCTCAATGTTGTGTTCCACAAGGACCTTGTCAGCCTCCGTACTAACATCTTCGCAGCTGAATTAAGAATGATCAGAATGATTGTTAGAGAGTGAACAAGATGTCTATGGCATTATCATGGTAATTCATGAGATGACAATCTTGAATACAATATTGTTATGTTCAGTTTTTCTTGTATATTGTTAATATTCTTTTAAGTATTTATAATTTGACTTATGACCTATATACATAACAATTGTATTGTGCTATAGTCAGTTTAGGATAAACTCATGCACATTTTTGTGATGCCTGTGTCTTTCCAGTGACTGATAAGTATAACATTGATAAAAACAAGTTTCTGTATTTGATAACTTTGCAGTAGGTACTTGTCTTAGGTAATATCTACTGTAAATATGATAAATGTTATTTATAAATATAAATTACATTCAAATGTATGTCAAAGTCAGCAGGCCATGTAAAATTATTGATACCATAATAATAGAGCTCCGGCAGGGAATCTTTAACAGGAATGCACTTTCTTATCAAGCAATGAGCTATGCAATGATAATTATGATCAATTTCATTCAAAATGGTATAACATCATGAGGTGAAATTACTTATTAATATTCAAGATAGGGTATGGCTCTGGCCTCATTAACTTTCAATTTCTTAAAAAGTAGAACTCTTCATAACCAGTATTTTCTTAGTTTTTATTTGTTCGATAACCTAAGTGTTGATTGATTAGAGGTTTAATTGTGAACTTAAACTTGTGATATACCTCAAAGTGTAATCTATTTACTTAAAAATGTGTAAAAATTTCAAAAATACTATTGTTTTCTATTTCCAATGTTTACAAAATTAACGATACATTGCTAATTATACTTATGACTAGGTAATGATGAAACATCAAAAGTACCACAGTAAAATACCTTTCCGTGAATGTCACTAATTCTTATTGTTTTATTAAAGTTCTTCAACTTCTGCATCAAGGAATATCTTTTTTATTTATTGTACCGTCAGCAGCCCAAAAACATTTTATTTTCAAAATGTCTTCCTGACTTCTGTCATTTTTTTTTCTTAATAATATTAGTGTTGCCAAGACACAACTACGTAAACTGCCAAAAAGTTATTTTAATTAAGAAAGTCCATGTACTCATATACAAACAACAATTGTACTTTATGTAATTATATTATTCTGTAACAGATGCATCAACGTGATTATTAGTCCGTTAGGTACCTACCTATTTATGAGTCCAACATATTTTATCTGGATATGAAATACAAATGTTTTCATGTTATTTTATTTTAAGAAATATTATCTGTTGTTGATGATGTGTGACTATTGCTACTTGATTCGTCAACTAGCTAGAGTATAGACTGACTGTTTTTAAATGTTACCTGCGGACCTATCTTGTTTTGCTATAAAATAATTTAGAAATCAGCAAATTGCCTAATTTGGCAGCGTTGCTGATTTAGAAAATGCGAGAAAGTTTATTTTTTAATATTCCAAAGTAATCGTGTTTCAAAAACATTTACATTTATCAAAACCTATTTTATTAGGAAAAACATGTAGGTACATTGATTGTAGATAGAATTTGAACACTGTAACTGCACTTTAAGAATTATGTAGCTACCTGCAAGTACTACCTGTTTCCAAATAACTTAATCACTTCATTGTACATAGGCGTTTTCGTTATCTTTATATCCCTATCTATGCTAAGATCTTCAAAACTACACAACAGATTTGATGTAGTGTTTTTAATAGATAGAGTGATTGAAATGGACTTTTTATTTATAATAACACTTATGGAGTAGTGGTGAAATTTAGTATCAGCATTGCCATTCGAAGTCAGGGCGGGTAGTTCTGTATGAAAACCTATTTTTTTAAGTTAATAGTAACCAATATTCGTGGACAGGTAGGTCTGATGACTGAAAAATGAACAAAGTCTATTTCGATCATGCTTTCTTGTGTAGGAGCAACAGGAAGGGTGTGTTCCTAAAATAGCATTGTCCAGTGCGGGACTTCCGAACTCAGTTTATTTCATTATACTTTTAGCTTCCAATCAAGTTTGTCGACTTAAAGCTGTGCTCTTATTTGGGTTTATTGTAAGAATAAAAAAGTGTCACATATTTGAATAGTGCGTAATTTTGGCGCCATAAATAATTATTTTGTATCTTACATACCGACAAAAACAGTGAAGTACCTAAGTTACATTCTTCGAAGTTTTGTAAACGAAGATGTCGAATGTCAAACTTGCGATACGAGTTCGACCTTTTACCGAGAGGTGAGTTTCATTTATAATTCTGTTTTATTATCAAAAAAATTGGTACTACTTACAACTTACAGATTTTAATATTAAAATGTATTTATTTTCTAACTGGCTCATGGACTGGAAATGCTATTTTCCGTTTGATAAAGTACTTACTTACATTGGATTTTTTCTAGTAGCTTATAGTTTGAAAAGGTGGTTAGCACAAGTACAGAACAGCCGATAGATATCTAGGTTACATAAATCCTTGAGAATAAGTGGATACTTAGAGTTAAAAAATATTGGTAAGGAAATTAATGTTTACTTTCGCAGGGAAATAAGATCAGAGAAGGATCGCGTGCCGGTTGTGAACGTGGTTGACAGTAACACTGTTACGATAACTAATATCAAAGTAAGTTGCTATCACAAAAAATGAGATTTTTTATTACATTTTTTATTATTTGCTTGCCAATATATTAATCTACTTTGGTAGTAAATTAAGCACACCGTTTCTGTGGCGTGTTAAACCACAGAAGACGTAATGAAACTCTCAACATTTTCGGTAGCCAAAAACACTGAACACGGAGTCACCGATTAAATGGATCAAGACAGGTTTTTTTGAGGTTGAGCAATAGTGTATCGCGGCCCATATAGGAGCAGGAGAAGGAACGAGATGGTTTTAGTCACTAGTCAGTAAGATTTTGGCCCACCCATGGCGGGAAGAGATATTTGATATCACTAACACTGTTAGTGAGGTTACCGGAGGCCCAACTCTTGCACTACCCCTATCCCTTCCCGATCCTTATATCTGCAACCCCTATCCCAAAAGGCCGGCAACGCACTCGTAACTTTTTTGGTTTTGCGGATGTCCATGGGCGGCGCCGATTGCTTACCATCAGGTAATCCGCCTGCTCGTTCGCCGACCTATACAATAAAAAAAACTAGGCAAATAAAAAAGTAAAAAAAAGCTCTACAGGTGTTAGTTATCGCAACTATCGGCCAAGAGTCGAACGTGATTTAAGATTGAGACCCGCCCTCCGTTGCATGAGAGTTAAAATGTTGGCTTTATATTTATTAAAATACAACTAAGTACCTATTTCAAACAATGTTGTGTTATCTTGACTTATTTAGGTGAGCGTATCTGGAGCCGGCGACAGTCGTGAGCGTATCAGGCAGTACTATGCGGACTACACATTCGACAGTTTCTGTCCTGTCACACACCCATCTTATGCATCACAGGAGAAGGTACCAAATCTCTATTTGTTTTTTCCCGAAGCTATTTAAATACAGCCGGCCTATCGTGAAACGGCTAAACGGTTTTAGGCTTCAGGAATGGCGCTGAGGGTTCCTGAGTGACCGATACTGCAAATCTTGAATGGGCGGATTAATGGAGAAATCATACTGCAAAGCGCATAATTACGCTTAGGATTTTCGTCCAAAGAGTATTTTGTTTTGTTTCTACTAAATAAATAAATAAATAGGAAATACGTATTGTGTAATGTATGAATACTTACCTTATAATGATCGCAATCATCAAGCGAAGGGGACGAACTGTGAAATTGACAAAAATGAATGTAGTAGGTACGTACTACGCCTTAAATTGATAATATCTAGATTCTTGTCTTATATTTATCGAAGAAGACAAAGTTCGTTTATTTGACAAATTAATTAAATAAGTAATTTCTTATGTAGGTACCTACTTAACTAATATAAGTTCTTTTTTCTAAAAAATGAATAAAATCTTAAAACTGCGTTCTCAGGTTTTCGAAACCATTGGCCAAGAAGTGATATCCAGCGTGTCACGAGGCTGTTCAGCGTGCGTGCTGGCGTATGGGCAGAGTGCGACGGGCAAGACACATACTATGATGGGCAATGATGCACAGCCCGGCTTGGTACCTCGACTCTGCAAGGCTCTTTATGAACTGCAACCGTCTGATTTCACAATCAGGTAGGTACTTATGTCATCACTACATAGTATAAAACAAAGTCGCTTTCTCTGTCCCTATATCCCTATGTATGCTTAAATCTTTAAAACCACAACGGATTTTGATGCGGTTTTTAATAGATATATTGGTTGAAGAGAAAGGTTTATATGCAGGTATAATAACATCAATGAAATAGTAGAGGAATTTAGTAGCAGCATTGAATCTGTGCGAAGCCGGGTGGGGCGCTAGTATCTAAGGTAGGTTACTTACATATAAATCGCACACAGATTGTAATTGGCACATTGTGTAAATCAATAATCTGAAGTTGTGAACATTCGTAGCGTATCATTTTTGTAGATATTACTTAATAGAACTTAGTTAAAAGTTCTCTAAAGCTTATCGTAGATTTATTGATTTCACATTATTCCACAAAAGCCATTGTTTGCCTGGAGGTAATTTTTGTTGCTTCTACTACCCACGTCTAAAAGCTTATTTTCAAAAGCAGTTTTCGGCAAGCAAATTGTTTGTATCATTTATGCATTCCGTGTGAAGAAGCCATAGGTGTGTGGCACGCGATGCTATTGTCAAAATGAAATGGGTGTCGCGTCATTATTTCATTGGCGTCGATTCTTTCACGGTAAATGATTGTGAACATTATATGCGTAGGCTTCCGTAATAATCAAGTCAATCAAGATTTTGTGTATATTTTCAACTATAACACGATAGTTGCTTCTGAACTTTTACGCCTACTGAATACAATCAATCAACGTTATTTAATTAAATAAATCTGCTATATTGCCATGTACGTAACGTATATAAAATCAAGTCCCTCCCTCCCCTGTTCCATGGTTTTGTCTGATCTCCAGGCTAGATAGCAAAAACTGTTCAGTGGATATAGGTATATAATGTTCAATAAGTAAAGTTCTGTATCGACAATATTGAACCTAAAAATCTGATAATGCCTGCATATCTATTTGGGCCCTGTTGGTGGGTAGAAGATAGTCATACACGAACTGCATAATTGATGACACCACTTAAGTCTGTTTAAAATCTTCAAATCAAAGCACTGGCACTGGTTTTGTAGCTAGTTCGGTCCTAATTTAGACTTTCGCTGAGGTATCTTTACCTGCTAAGTATCTACTAACTAAGTAGTTGACAAATAGGTGAGAAAATTAATTCTAAAACTTGTACGACATCAACGATTACGTTTCACCTAAATATCCGAAACAAGTCCTTCAAAGGACAAAGAAGCATTTTTTCACGCCTATAATAGATGTTGAAAACTTTGATCAAATTGTTTTTTTTTCTACTCGTGTAATATATTGTAGGTTGTATTCGATTAAGTTTGTGTTGTAATAAAGAGGCACCATGGTTCCTGACCTCAAGGCTGAAACGACACGCGAGCCTTTAGCACCCTGCCATCATGGCATTCATGGCTTTATCTTCGTAATATCTCCCCATACCGTGTACCTACACGTGTTCGAGGTACGGTTACAAGAATTATGGGGATACTATCGTAGTCTGATAGCTTTACGATACGTCAGTGTGTTGTGTTTATTGGGTGAGTTTCTTGTTTTCTACAACTTTTGGATCACTTGATTATTATCAAGACATTTTGATTGAACAACGAAGTTAACAGACAGATACCTTATAGGTAGTATCAAACTTACTGCTGGGTAAAGCCCTTTTATACACGAAGAAGGTTTGAGCATTAATCACCAAGTTAGCTTAAGGCAGGTTGGCGATTTCAAACTTATGATTAGACATTAGATAAGTCCAGATTACCTCACGATGTTTTTCTTCACAGTATGTCAGTGGTAATAATTTGTTTTTATTATTATTTATAATTGTTTTTAAGTCCTTCTTTAGGTACCGTTTGTCAATGTTAGTTTTCAAATTAACTAAAAAAGAGCATATAGCCAGGCACCTATCGAATCCGATACCTCAAGCGTGATAAGCGGACGCCTTAATCTTTAGCCACTTCGACAATTTTTTCAATGACAGATACCTGTTCTAGCCAAGTCCTGCTAATATTTAAAACACGAAAGCGAAAGAAAGTATGAATGGATGGTTGTTTGTTACTCTTTCACGTAAAAGCCAATGATTGGATATTAATAAAAATGGCACAGAGATTGATTGTTATTGTCCGGAATGAGAAATGCCGCTGAGCCGAGCCGCTGGCTCGTTACTCATAAAAATAATTTAGGATTTTTTTTATGAATTTAACGTCTATTCATAACTCTTAGAAACAAAAAAATTAGCTAGCTGTCCAGTTTGCATTTAGGAATATGCGGCATCCCTATAAACTACTACACTTAGCTCGACTTAGGTACCTACAATTTGCAGTGCACCTAATTGTTTCTTCAAAAAGGTTTTCCTTTCAGGCAATTCAGCAAACAAGCTTAAAGGTCATGAAAACATAATCACTACTGATTTTTTTTAATAATCGTATCATCATCATCATCATCAGCCTATAAGTGCCCACTGCTGAGCAAAGGCCTCTTCTCGCACGGAGAAGGTTTTGAGCATTAATCACCACGCTTGCTCGATGCGGGTTGGCGATTTCAAACTTATAATTAGAAATTATAAGTCCAGGTTTCCTCACGATGTTTACCTTCACCGTATGTCAGTGATGTCTAAATAATCATAGAAAGTACATATAACTCTGAAAAAGTCACATTGGTACTTGCCAGGTTTCGAACCCACACCCTCATGCATGAGAAGCGGGCTCCTTAACCTCCAGGCCACCACGACACCTAATAATCGTATGCTAATATAATATTGTCATTAAGTATTAGATAGATACCAAGAAAAGTGTCCATGTACCTAATCCTTTGTTCGTGTAGGAATAATATAAAATAGTAGGTACCTAGAGTAAACATTTTTCTTTTGTAACAATCATATAAAATAATATAAATAGACTTACTTATCTACTTTTTAATTTCCATTAGTTTACTTTGTCCCGAGTGTGGATTGTAGACTATTTTTCAAACGGTAGTAGTTAGTAGGGCTTCAGCAGTTTTTACCTTCAGTCCTTTCTGAGCGGTTGTGACTGCACGCGGCAATCGCGTCGCGATTTTCTTGCCACCCCTACGTCATCTGCCCATCGCTGTACAGTTCGTGTTTTAGAAAATAATTAAAGGTATTTTTTATTGAATATCTGTATTAGTTATTAGCTGAATGTGTGATTTGTCGTTTACTGGAAACATTGTAGTAAGTATGTATATCTATTTCTTTTTGCTATTTCCCGCCGAAAATATTTCAACGTGTATTTGCTGGCGTAGTTTTTATATTTAATTATGCTTAGATATCATTGTCAGCTGGACGTACATAGCGAAGCCAGTTGTCTATTTGCACAAGTTCATATTTAAGATATAAAAAGTACTTACTTAAATTATTCAGAAAAAAATAAGTAAACGGCATACTTAATTCCGCCTATCAGTTAAACTTAAGAGTAATTTGTTACGGTAAGGGTTTTTCAATGCTTAGATAAAAGTTATCTGGGGAGTAATCATGATGCTGTCGCGTCAGAATGTATAAGACAGTGACAGCATCATAATTATTCCGCAGATAACTTTTAACTAATTATTGGAAAATTAGCCCTATATGAACAAGGAATTTTTAAAACATTGCCTACGTGTGTGAGCAGGTACCTACATTTTTCTTACGGTAACAAAAATAATAAAGCCATGATTTTATATCCATTTGTTTGTATAGGTACGCCTATAAAGAATATACATAGGTACCTACATATGAGATATAAGCTAGTTTTGCGGTGGCGAGTTGTTTTATTATGTCTGTATCACACGGTGCGAGGTGTCTGATGGTCGCGGTCCCGCCCTCGCGTTCATAATAACTACGAAATTCCAATATTCCTTTATTCTTACACTATCTGCTTTATATTATTCTGATAACCTTTATTAAAATTTATTTAAAGAAGGTTTGAAGAAAGGAGGTCTTTATCCATAGAAGATAAATGGCATATTTTAGGCAGTTCGTTACTTCAAATGTGTTCTTATTTCAAAACAAAATATCACGCAGGTCTACAATAGTAATTTCCACATAGTTTTAAGTTGAAACTTAGTTTGAAACAAAGTTTTGTTTTGTGTTAAACTGCGATGATTTATTGCAATAATTAGCGGTGTCGTGACTAACTGGAGTTAACTCGCACACCAGTTTGTTAACTCGTTACCCACAGGTGGACAGTTAACAATAGTTATTCAGAAAACACCAATTAAACTTGTGACAGCTTCATTTTCAATATTGATTACAATATGAAACAATTAATTTATTGTTACAAACAGGCTTTAAAACAGCACTTTTACATGTCAAAATATGTATTACTAGCTAATTTTGCGCGCTGTTCTGCTCCTTCAGATCATAGCGTGATCTTTTATGGTATATAAAATAGCCTTCTTCAAAAAAATGTCTAACAAACAAACTCTACAGCTTTATAATATTAGTATAGATAAAAATTTTCTACCTGACCACATTGAGAAGAAATGCCGAAATAAACTCTTTTAAAGTCAGGACAGTCTCTTTTAAAGTCCAGGAAAAATAATAAATATAATGTTTATGTTTAAAATAATTATTTTTGTTGTTTTCAATGTAGGAAGGTAGTAGAGAACTTCAGTTGGACTGAAATGTTTGCGCAATATTTAAATCCTTTTCACACATTCTTAACCACAAAAGGTTACTGAACTGGTACAGTCGACAAAATTATTGGCACCTACAACCATACACTGTCTCCAAAATATATACTTTAATGTATATTTTCTTTTTATTGTTTTTAGTACTTTGTGCCACCTTTCTTCTTTGTTAATAACTGCTGTCTTATAATACCTCCTTATTAAAAACCGTTGAAACGTAATTTTATCTTTTTATTTTCAATTTTGTTTTTAATACGTTTCCCCTCACTATGATTTTTTACTTAGTCGTGGGTGCTGTTACAAACATACAATTTCACATACACATGACACCCAGACTCGGAACAACAATTTGTGGATCACACAAGGAGTCCGTGCGGGAATCGAACCCTTTGTACGGCAGCCAGTTGCCCAGCCACCGCACCAACCGTGCAATCAAATTGTTTATTAAGGATTAAAATCTTGTTCAAATACACATCTAGCTATAATCTTTGTTTTATTTATCAGTTTCTTAGAGATATACAACGAACGAGTGCATGACTTGTTGTCCGGAGAAGTGCCGCTCCCTCCTTGCCATTCGCTGCCACGACGGAGAGGAAACGCGCGCAAAGACCTGCGTGTACGTGAGCATCCTTCCAGAGGACCTTATGTTCAAAGTAAGTAGGTTCATTTTAGCTTGAAAGAGTAGCTGCACTTTTAAATCTACTGGATAATCATCACCAGTGGATAGAAGTCATCTACACAAAGTCTGCCGACACGAGTCGAACGACAATAGAACTCTTGTGTTCAGATGCTCGACCCATGCCAACAGATGATCTCGATGCGGTAACAGACGATACTGTATCTAGTTGGAGAAAACCTACTGGTGTGCAAACGTGACGGATACATATGCGTGCTATACGCGATCTGTACTATGTCATATTTGATTTTTATCGTTATCGTCACAACAAATAGAAATACAAGTAGGTACCGTAAGAGCTTATTTATTTATTTTATTTGGACAACTAGTAGTTGTTACATTTAAACTTATATCTAAAAACTTAAGTAATAATAAAATCAAATGCACAACATTTTAAAGTGTCATAACATGCTCTGTAACGTAACGACAACAGTTGGTATATTACAATTACAGTTACAAACTAGAAAAAACATTTAAAAAAGGAAAAAAAAAATACTACAATCCAATGATATATAGATTATTTAGAAACAGTCGGTTTTTTCACAACTTTTCGAATTAAATCGACGGAGCAAAATAATACAGTGTCGTCGTTACAAGCGCCTCGGCGGATATCATCATTCTCATGCAAAACTCATGTCTATCATGCTATTGCACTCTATCATCATCATCATCTCACTTCACGGGTAGATCTTCGTCGCGTGCTAGTACAAGATGTAGAAGCTCTCCTGTCGCTGGTGGCTGAAGGCACTCGCCGCCGCCGCACCGCCGCCACTCGCCGTAACTCCACCTCATCCAGATCCCATGCGCTGCTTGAAATCACCACACCACACGCCACACTGCACCTCGCTGATCTCGCTGGAAGGTATACTGAACTCGCAAAACCTCATTCTGTAAAACACTATAAAAGACTAAGGCGACTTAGCTTTGATTTTTTGTTCATTATTTAAGTAGTAGGTATATATTGTTTTGATTATTCTAGCTTGATTTTATATAATCATCTGGAGTTTTCTACGCTTCTAATTTAATATTTAACTAGCTTTTGCCTGCGATTCCGTTCGCGTGGAATAGTGACTTCCTACAGATTTTTGGTATAAAAACTATCCTATGTCCTTTCTCGAGTTTCAACCTGTCTGTACCAAATTTCACAGAAATCGGTTCAGTAGTTTAGGCGTGAAGAAAAGACAGACAGACAGAATTACTTTCGCATTTATAATATTAGTATGGATAATCGATTATTTGATTTATAGGCCCATTAATGTTTTAATGTTTTAGGGCAGCAACGAGCAGGTGGATCACCTGATGGTAAGCTATTGTTCAAAAGTGCCTGTAAGCTACAAGGTATGGGAATTGAAAGAAATAATTTTCAGTTTTGAATTTTCAATCGGGGCCACCCTTGGTCACTCCTAGCGCCATACGGCTTGTAAGGACGATTATGGCTTTTTGGGGAGAGGAAAATTATTGGGTCTCCGGTAACCTCACTCATACAGGAAAATATAACGCGAGAGTTTACGACGGTTCCCTGCCGTGGTATACCTACATATTCCGATCCTGCCGGCGTATTAATGCCAAAGTCAACCAAAGCATGACTCTTCCACACTTATATGGTAGGTTATGATAACGACAACTCCATAGGTACAAAATCAAATTTTCTTTAATAGCCTTGTAAGACGTTTCACTATAATTATGTTATTTATTACTCGTCGCAATAAAAGAGTAAATACTTCTAAATAATGTGACATTATCTATGCATGTATCCACCACATTACACGTCACAGTACAAGAGGTTAATGTTCTTAATCCACTGAGCATCGACTAGGTTAAGCTTCGTCGCACCTGTAAAAGACTGAAGGAAGCCCTACTCAGAATAAATACTTACACAATTTGTTACTCATAGCTATCTGCAAAGTTATATTATAACCATTACTAGATAAAAGTTATTCTTGATAGGTAGGTATGCGGTTAACATGGTTAACTGGAATCATAATTAACTTGAAATATAATTTCGGAACAATTTCTGGCTTAACCGATAAATTTTGCTTTCCAGATGCTTAAGCATAGTTAGATTAAATTGGAAGTGGGCAAATCTCAACAAATGATCCTTGACCTCCTAATCCTAGGTTAATTAACTGAGAAGACATAGACAACATCGATTTTACGATTATTTCTGTATTATCTATGTTTTTTATTGAGTGGGAAAATCCTTGAATGACTTCTGCCCTAAATGAGGCAACAAGAAGTGTCAGACTCTTAGGTATTGACTAAAAATCCCCCTCGTTGTTTCTGCTCTGTCTTGGACTATGGTACATTATTGCGCATTCTGGTTTTAGCTGAAACCAAATTTATTAAATTCTTCAATTTGTTTACACAGATTTACGGTAAATATTACCAATGTTGTCGGTCACGTTGCTAAATGACAACATAATCTTACTTTGTTATTGAGAAACCCATTAAATGCTAGAGATAGCCATAAATCAATATTTAAACTTGTATTACAATAAGTAGGTACTTACTTCATGCCTGCAGGGAGAATGTATTAGTATAAGAAATGCTGCCCTCTTCTACTTTGTAACACAATTTGTAGGTACGAACCTACTGATATTTAAAACTGATGCAGCACGCATCGCTTCGTTCGTTTACCTTATCAGCCTATAACTGCCTATTGTTAAGCAAAGGCCTCTTCTCACACGGAGAAGGTTTGATTAATAATCACCACAGCTAGATGACAGAGTTAAGCATCGAGTTGAAAATATAACGCAAGCGAGATCAACCAAAAAATATAATTTAAGTATTTATTAAAAAAAAATATATTAATAATTTCGCGTTTTCTGTGCAGTGAGAAAGCAAGTTGGGAGGGTTGTGGCGGCGGCCGGCAGAAAGAAGGCGCTAATATAAACAAGTCTTTGGTGGCACTCAGTAACGTCATCTCTGCACTAGGTATGTACAGAAAAGAGTTTCTTTTTACTTTTTACCTAGTTAACTAAGTTATACATCCGTTTCTTTCGTGTAGTAGATTGATCTTAGTAATATGTCCAACAGTCTTTGATGTAACATTCTCCAAATTGTAGGTACAATTATTTTTCGATTTTAAATTATTCAATAATAAGATACCATCAGGCCGGGATAGTCCATGGGCCTACTATACATAAGGATTTACAATACCCCAATAACTAATAAATATCTCAAATCAAAAGGTTCGGTAGGTAAATTAGAGAGCGCTGTCCGGTTTGTGTCAAATGTGCAGTCAAACGTCAAAATCAGCTGGCTCTTCCGCCATTTACGGGATGAAAAGGAGGTAGTCGCAAAATTTATTTATTTATTTGGGACAAAAAATTGACACAAGCTAAGCACATTGAATTTTCATTTTTCATCGATTTATGTCTCAAGATATTTTACAGCCTTGGAATTTATACAGACGAAGAAGAAGGTAAATATTTCTCAAATTTCGTCTTTGATTTTGGAACAGTCATTCTCGGCTAGGTTATAAACGTGATTCACGATTTTGAACACGTTAGAAATGTTGCTACATACATAAATTAAACAGATTAAGACAGCGTTCTATGAATCAGTACAGCGACAGATTTTGCAACGTATGATTTGCTAATTAGATTAAATTATAAATTGGCTATTGGTTTTTGAGAGATTAAGGTAGTTCACCGCCCGATCAGAACCATACTCGAGCGTACGCGCGTACTTGAAGTACTTGAAGCGCGCTTCAAAGAGCCAATAGATCACCACCAGATACGGGGCCCTAAAAAAACGTTGCCCCACACTAGGATTTTTCCTGTGTCGTGGGTGCGTTTACAAACATACAATTTCAATTTCACATACAGACAACACCGAGACTCTGAACAACAATTTGAGGATCACATAGAATTGTTCCGTGCGGGAATCGAATCGCGCGGCAGCCAGTTGCCCAGCAACCGCGCCAACCGTGCAGTCAAGTCTTAAAAAACATTGTTATCTTATCAATGTACGAATCGGTAACGTTCGCCCGTAAATTAACTAGCAAAAAGAGCCTAGTTACTTTTTATACATGGTGTTTCCGAATTCCCTTGAATATTGTGTAATGTACCATGATTTTTTTGTATTTCTTTGTTTATCATTCCAAAATGATTACTTTAAGTTTTGCTGTGCATGGTCTATTATTGGGTCTGCGGTCGGCGAGTAAGGGTAGCTCGCCGCCCGACCAGAACCAGACCCGAGCGTACGGCGCATAGCGTTCCGTAGCGTTTCGTATAGAGCTGATGTTCAGCCGGGGTTGCGGGGTAAGCGCAATGAGGCACCGCGACCCCGGCCCAGAGCAGGAGAAGGAACAGGGGGTTTCTAGTCAGCAAGAGTCTGACACTCCCTCCCGTCCGTCCCTGGGCGGGAGAACCCATCTGATGATTTTCCCCTCACAAAAACAAAATGGTCCATTATTGCGTCCTAGCTGTAAGGCAATTCCGTAAAGTCTTGTTAAAAAGTAGTATAACACTACTATTATGATAAATATTATCATTTCTACTGTTAGTTCATAGAGTCTACAATTCAAAAAACTAGTTCTAGGTCACACATATTTTGAAATAGCCGCTATTTGGTAAAAGTGCATGCAAATTGGCAAAACGTGCGTCAAATACCGGTATAATGAAGACATTGCAGCATCTTATGTTTAATCCCATATAATATCTTATAAGGAAAACATAAACGGTTCTTTTCTATGAAATTGTTACTTTTTGGCATGTTATGTTATTCTATGTCGTCAAGAGTTGAGGAAAACTTATACTTAAGGCCTTATAGACATAAACCACTACAGACGAGGCCGTATATGGCTTATGATTAGCCGGGGTTGCGGGGTAAGCGCAATGAGGCACCGCGACCTCGGCCCGGAGCAAGAGAAGAAACGGGGGGTTTTTAGTCAGTAAGAGTCTGACACTTCCTCTTGCCTCCCACTGGGCTGGAGAAGTTATTTGATGATATTCTCCTGACATAAAAAGGGCTCATAGTGAGATTATTATCGACATGGGAATTGTACAACGAGATCTCCTTACTTAATGCGTTTAAAATTTTTAGACCAACAACTAGGTAATCATAGGTTTGTCTTTCGTAATGAAATAATAGCTTGATTGCTTAATTTACTTTGTTGTCAGTAAACGGTGGGTCGGCGCGAGGCAAATTCGTTCCTTACAGAGATTCGGCGCTAACGTGGCTGTTGAAGGACTGTTTCACAGGTGGCGCCAGCACGTTTATCATAGCTAGTAAGTGCATATAAATAAAGACATATACATACATAGGTACCTATCATTACAACTTCTAATTTTTTATGTGATACGTTACTTGATGCTTAACAATCGGCACCGCTTATAGACACCAGATGAGTTGCAAGTTGCCACCATTATGGGAATAAGGGGGTTTGGGGAGGAAGGATTTGGCCTCCCGGTAATCTCACTCACACGGCGAAACACAACGTTGTGGTTGTTTCACGCCGGTTTTCTGTGAAGCCGTGGTATTACTCCAGTTGAGCCGGCTAATTCGTGCCCCAGCTTGTCTTTCCCACTAACAAAGGCATAAACAATTGAACGTTGAATACAGCTGTGATATTTTTTATGCACAGTCAACATCTATCGAGTGTTGTAGGTACTTATACAACAAATATTATAAAATGCGTTGCGAAATACAAGTTTTGTTTAATTGGAGTGTTAGGTAAGCTGCGAGGTCGATGACTAGCTCTCAGATAGAACCTTGACACAAATCAAATGTGTATTAGTATGCGCAAAAGTTAAATCACAGTCGGTAACAGTTTAAAGCAGTTTTGTGTTGAAAGCTGTTCTGACCTTGACCGATGCAATTATAATAAAGCTAGCACGTGTTTGTTTACATCAAAAAATTTATATTGGAATTGACGTATATGATTATTGTTTTGTAATATGTTTGTTTATACAGCCGTGTCTCCAAGTGTCGTCTGCTACGGTGAGTCGGCGTCAACGCTACGTTGGGCCGCTCGAGCTCGTCAGCTCCCAACCCCTCGTAATGTCAGCTGTGGATCTCACGTCGCTACCCGAGCTGCCTTACAAGCACAGCTCAATCAACTAATATCTGAACTCTCACGGAACCATATTCGATATGTTAGTAAAAGTTTCTTGTTGTAACAATCGATAACCACTAGATAAATGAAAGCTAAATATAAATCATTTATTTTGTCAGGTACCAGAAACGGGTAAAATCTTGTTCGATGAAGAACATTGGGCACCAAGAACAACTGAAAATGAAAATTTAAATAAAGCAGCAATCATAGGCAACATTATGAATATTGCGCGTCTTAAACCTGACGCGACCAACTCTGAGTCAACTGCTTCGTCAGTCGCTAGCGGCAGCTCAGATGTCATCAACGCCGTGGACAAGAATTCGACAATTGCAAGTGAGATTAATAAAGAGATGGACAAATTGTTTGGGCCTGCCCTGGAAAGAGCGAGCAGCGGAGATGACTTTAAAGTTATTGCTCCACTAAGGCATAAAAAAAGACAATTTAGATCTCAAGAAGTTTTAGCAAATGAAGATATGCCAACAGTAAGCCAAAGCAGTAATTTGGTGACTACTTTACCCAGCCAAAGCGAAGCTAGTATAAATGAAGCGCCAAACACCGATAAAACCAAAGTTCCTCCAATAACTATCCTGCATGACAATCAGAGAGCAGAAATAGTTGCATCAGTGACAGAACGACTTTACACAAAACTAAAAAAGAAGGAAGAAGCTGCGGTCTCCAAAGTAGAATCAATGGTAGACAGAAAAATAATGGAACCATTAAGTGAGCTAAAGATCTGCACAAATGCACGCCAGAGACTTATGGAGCTAAGTCAGAAAGCTATACGCAATAAAAGAAGGATAGGAATACCAGCACACACACAAACAAGAATTACGGTGACTCGTGTAAAAGATCAAGCTGTTGACGTGCAAACAGATCTTTATTCATATGTTCCCAGAAATAGACACCCTTATGCATTTTGTCGAGACGTAGCTACTGAGACAGTGCCAATGACACCCCGTTGTAAAGAAATAGCCGTAGGACCAACGGGATCACTTGATTCAAGTGACATGTCTACAGAAACGAAGAGAGTTAATTATAAAAATTCATATGTGATGACTGATATCGTAACTAAAAACGAACGATGCACTCAAACGATCATTGTGCCACCGCCTAGACGAAGGAAACGTTCAGCTGCATCAAAACACATTTGTTGTAAAGAAAATCATAACTTATCAGAAGAATGTATTTCTGCTCCAGTAATAAGTATAAATATCTCACAAGTGTATCCTGTAGATACTGAATCTCAAAGTTCAGATGATAATTCTGAAAAATTAAACGTTAACAGTAAATCCAGTGTTGTGACAAGTACTCCAGATCTATTAACAAACCACAATACAATTGACCCACAAAACGTAATTGATATAAAGGAAGATGAAATCTGCGTTTTGGTTAATGTAGCAGACGAAAGAAAAGTTCCTATAATCATTCAAGATGACGATAATGGGAAATCGATCGATTCTGTAAAGCATTATGAAGAATTTCCAGATACAGAAGATTTCACCTTGCCAAGAGTAAATCCTAATTCTGTAAAAAGTAATTCTTCTGAGATCAAAAACATGATTCTAGGACGAAACCAAAATATGTATCCTTACAATATAATATTATCACCACCAAAAGAAAGAGATTCCAAGCGTATAGTTACATTCAAAGAAAATCACGCAGACAAAACGAATGATACTGCTTCAGGCTCTAGGAATGTGGATGAAACAAACGATAGCACAACAAATAGACATGAAAGTACTTCCGATATGACAACATCTGATAAAGATATTCCATTAGAAAAGGATTTTGAAAGCGTGTATTCCGACTCTACAGACTCGAGCAAAGTAGACACTGACTCTTTCATCTGGAAACAAGGCAGTAGCCGGACAATGGGATGCTTGAAGAAAAATTACGTTCCCGTGTACAAAAGTTCAAAATACAAAACAGCAAAAGGGAGAGGTTACAAAGATGTTTTGGGATTAGAATCTGAAGGTCATCAATTAGGTCTTAATAGTTATGAAACTCGTGAAAACATTAGAGATGTCAGCTCTAGCGATAGTAGAGATACAGATAACAGTTCGGAATACAAAAGCAGAAGATGTAAGCCATATTTTGAAAACAAATCTTATTATAATCCTGGTAGGGAATATAGTGATGATGTGAACGATTATCACAGCCTAGAAAGAAAATTAATCGATTCTTGCAATAACTTAGAAGAGTCAGTTAATAGGTATGAAAATTACGTCTCTAGTTATAAGCAAGGTATGAAAATAGATGGCGTGGAGAGCACTACACGTAGGCCCAAAGAGTATTTACAGCATTTAGTACAATTAAGGCGAGAGGTTGTTAAGGCAGAAAGCGATAACACCGATAGTTCATCTATGGATATTTCTAACAAATAAATATAACATTTTGTTTAGTCCTAAGTTTAAACCTTGTTAGTACTTTAAGTTGGTCTATTTTTTCAATCAATATTATATTTATCAATAAACTGATTTATTTAAATTACGTGTTTAATAATGTCTAATAAAATATAGTTGAACAAAATAACTCATAGTCCATTCAAGTTCATTGCATTGCTGACCCTGGTGGAAATGCCACTGACATTATGAAATAGTCAAGCTTACAGCAGAGTGCGGCTCTCCTAGAGCCGGGCTGGTCATTGATTATACGCGAGCGTTAGTGAATAACGTCCATTGCAATAATATTAAAAATATAAAAACCATTCGTGGTATAAATGTGATTCAAATAATAAAAAATGTCTTTCCTACTAACTCAAGTGTTCAATCCCCAGACAATAATATTCGCTGTAGTAACAATTATTTACACAATTCTGTGGTTTCGATATAAATTCACGTATTGGTCGAGAAGAGGTGTCGTTGGGCCCAAACCGGAGTTTATTTTTGGAAACATTAAAAAAGTGATCAAAAGGGAAGAACAGTTTTTCCAGCCGTACTATGATAACTATTTTAAGTATAAACATTTGCCGTATATAGGCATGTACTCTTTCCATCAGCCTGTGTTGTCTATACATGATCCAGATATAGCCAAGTTGTTGTTGATAAAGGACTTTGATAGTTTCCAATCGCGAGGTACATATGCCGGTGGAGTGGGAGATCCATTGGCGGCGAACTTGTTCAATATCTTTGGGAAGAGATGGAAAACCTTAAGGTTGAAGATGACACCAACCTTTACGCCTGGGAAACTAAAGACAATGTACCCAATCGTTGAGGATATAGCCAAACAGGCTTTAAACTACGTGGATGTGTTACACTCAAATGAGGAAACGGTTAATTTCACTGATTTCTATTCTAAATATGCGATGGAGATTATCGGGAACGTTGGTTTTGGTGTGGAATGCAACGGTTTTGTAAATCCTAATTCCGAGTTTTACATAAGAGGACATGAATACTTTGATCATCAGTCTCATTATTGGTAAGTCTGTTAATATATTTTCGTATTGGCTTTACATTGGGCTCTTGTTTCCTGTTGGGTAGACCGCAAGCGATTTCTCAATAGTTGTTCAGTTGTCGAGTTGTGTGAAGTCATGATCGGCACGGTGTAGGATTCGATACAGTAAACATAATTTCGTGAGTTCGATTCCCATAAAGTTATATCACGCTTGTTTTTAATTGAGTAGAAGAATTTATTACTTAGATCAAAAATCAATATTGATTCAGGTAATAAGGTCAAGATTAACTAATTAAGGGATAAAATAAATTAGTTAATCTGATGACAATCTTTATCGGTTAGATTATAACATTTGATATGTATTTAGCATTCTTACGGAATCACTTTGCTTTGATTTTGGTTTGAAATATCGTGTGACCTCACAGTTCACACAATGAGCGGTGAGGTAGCAAGCTCACATTTAGAAAATTTAATTCTTGCATTGCTTACCTATTTATAATAAAAATCAGTCTTACATTTCCACTTTCGAACTATCGAATATTTATTTTTCATAGCTTGTCGTTATCCCTGAACCACCAAACTTAAACTTATGGTAGGCCCGTCGATATGAACGTTAACCAAATTGCGAGACATATACAAAAAAATCTTTGATCGATCCGAGAATTTAACCTCTTATAAACACGAGTGCTTACCAAATAACATTGGAGTTTATGATCACTCGACAAGGAAAGCTGTCGAGATACTAATAATGGCGTTATTTCCAGGAGACTAATTCGCGCGTTTGCATTTTTCGCGCCAGACACGTTTGACAGTTTGAAGATCAGACGAATTAGTTCGAAAATTGAGAATTTCTTCTGTGGCATTGTCAAGAGGACAGTGGAATACCGACAGAAGCACTCTGTTACACGAAACGATTTCTTACAAACACTTATTGAATTAAAAAATGGCCATGTTGTTGACGAACAAGGTATGCCTGTGAGAACTCTTAATTACGTTAGTACCGTGTTATGTTAGGCTTTTAATAACAACAAATTCAAATGTAATTAAGTATTAAGAAGTAAACTAACAGTTTTATCAATGCTTCGCTATTTTAGTACGAAACAACTATGATGAATGTATCAGAATGATTTAAAATAGTTGCTAAATAAAAAATAAACTACAAATACTCAAATGGCTTTTTCCAGGGGACGTGAAATATTCAAAAACAAATTTTCCATTCACAATGACTGATGTAGCAGCCAACACCATGTTGTACATGATCGCTGGTTACGAGACCTCAGCCACTACTGGCCAATTTGCAGCCTACCAACTAGCTCTGAACCCTCACATTCAGGCCAGAGTTAGGAAGGAGGTTGACACAGTACTCGCCAAATATGGAGGCGAGTGCACTTACGAAGCTCAAAATGAAATGGTCTATTTGAATATGGTATTAGACGGTATGTATCTCGAAAATTAAAATAATGTAAGTAATATTGGCACATAAGCCCTTAATTATCCTTGTATACAATACATATGTGCCTGTAAGGGGTAAGGGCTTATCTGTTAGTTGCCTTGTATACAATACAAGCATAATTAAGGGCTTATGTGCTATCACATTTTTTTAAATTGGTCAATGGCTTTCTGTGAGTTGCGTTTGGCCCCTCATACGTTTTCCAAATGTCCTATACCTATGGTTCCGTGAAATGTCAACAATTTTTTTCAAACTAAATTCCTGTTTTTTGACGAGGCAAAGTTTTATGGCCAGGAAAAATCTGTAAAATTGACTAAAAAGCTGCAACTGCTGCTACTGAAAGGCAATCTAGGATGGAAAAAAGCTTGTTCTTTTACAAATGACTAGATTTTAATATTTTTTTACATAGAACGCTTTCAGCAGTTAGCCCTTATTATTTCAGAGACGATGCGGATGCACCCGTCAATGCGTGCCCTATTCAGGAGATGTAACAAAGACTATAAATTGCCAAATAGTGATCTGGTCATAGAAAAAGGTACGATGGTGTTCATACCGATACACGCTATACACATGGACCCGGACATTTTCCCTGAGCCAGAGAAGTTTGACCCAGAAAGATTCTCACCTGAGAACAAAGCCAAGTTACACCCCTGCCATTGGATGCCGTTTGGAGAAGGACCAAAGAAATGTTTAGGTGAGTACAAAAAGTAACTTGTAAATTTTTCAAAGTAAAAAAAATACTTCCGGACCTCTGTCTAAACAATTGCAAGGTTGGCGCAGTTGCTTCGTGATCCGCTGCTATGCAAAGTGACGCAGCTCGACCCACGGAAAACATATCGAAACATATAAATAAGAGTGGTGTTAGTAATCACATGCAAAGTCGTACTAATATTAATTAAGCGAAAGTTAGTAAATGGATGGATTGATGTTTGTTAATAATAAAAATGACACACCAGAAGCCTGGAAGAACACAGAGGCTATTTTTCATCTGGGTAACGCGTTAAAAGCTTTAGGTCTAAATATAAGACAGTTTTAATAAATTTAGACATGTGAATAAATTATATGCATGTTCAATTATGCAACTGTTTAATATAGGTAATCGGTTTAGTAGTTGCGTAAATAAATTTATGAGAGCTGATACAAACATGCACATTCAACTTAGCTGTTATATAATAGATTTTTCACCATAATGTTATGCAATAAACTCGAAAATGTGTAAGTGTGGGAGAGCCATGCTTCGGCGTAAATGCTTGATGGGACCGATACCACGGCCTCACAGAATACCGGCGTGAAATTTACGTTTTGTTAATCTGTCCCATAAAAAAAAGGAATACACAATGGTTTTAAGGATTTCAAATCATTGTCCGCTGGTTTTGTTAGGTGTTATTGTCCGTGAGTGTCGGTCAACCGCAACTGTTATGGCGTTTGAATTGCTAAGACATTATTGCAGAAGCTATGGTCAAGAACCACATGTTGAGAATGTTATTACGAAATAAATAGGTTTTGGTCATATGGGCCGTAGATCATAAGAAAAAGAAATGAAATACATCGTAGAAAACATTTCATTCAGTAAACGATTATCTGCATAACTAAAGTATTAGTGCTTCATTGACGACAACGACAACGGTAGTAAATAAGAACATTTGAAATAGTTCTCGGATTTGAGGTTACCGATGGCCCAATGCTTCCATAAATCTCCAAATCCCGCAATCCCTAAAAAGTCGGCACCGCACTCATAACTCTACTGTTGTTGCGGCGATGATTGCTTACCGCCAGGTAATACATCAGCTCGTTTGTCGCCGTATCACATAATAAGAAATATTGGTAAAGTTTTTAAATAAAAGAACAACCAACCCGTTTTATTTGGAATCCCAATCTTACGCTTGATAGTCAGCACATTCGCGCACTAAGATAAAACGCAATATAACTTATTTCAACGTATCAATAATATTTAACTTAGACACACCAAACTCTTAAAGTTACTGGTTATGTAAATTATATAAAAACAGATACTTAAGTATTGTCGTTCTTGACCTGGCTAATACTTGCATAGTTTGTGTGTCATCGACACTGTCCGCGCCTTGAATATCTTAAGTAATGATCATATTCACTGCACATTTAGAATTGCGAGTATTATTATTTAGTAATTACTGTCTGCACAGTTATGTGTATAGATAACGTAAATTATATTAAAAATGAATCGCGAAATGTGTCGGTATAACTCAATAACGTCTGGACCAATTTTGTCAATTATTTTTTTGTTATGTTCGTTGTTGTTACGAGAAGGTTCTTACGAAGGAAAACTTTAGAAAACTATAAAGGGATTGGCGGGAATTAACAACCCTTTCGGTGCCGTACGTGGCCGTTCGCTTGCAAAGCAAATGATTGTCACAAGGGACTCCCCTTGTGAAGCTACGCCTCTGCCTACCCGTGCGAAGAAGGGGCGGTCTGCTAGTAAGAAAATAAAGATTAATTGAGTACAGAGAAAGTAGTCGTAGTTAATCTAAATAATATGATTTTTAATGATGCCATACTCCTTTGTAACGAGTATCCAATGAATAGTTACTATCTCTGTGATTAGTCAGTCTTCATCTTCGTACCAAGTACTACATACTGTATTTTTTTGACATAGGCATGGATGGCATGCTCAGCTGAAGCTATTTAAAATTTTTAAACAAAAAATGCGTCTTTTATCCCTCTTTGTGTATCTGGAGTTTAACGTCATTGTGAAGAGTCTGGGCAATATTAACTACTGTATTCTTATATATGAAAACTTTCATTTTCAGGTATAAGACAAGGATATATACAGTCAAAGATGGCTTTGATAAAGGTGCTGCACAAGTATGAATTGATATTGGATAAGAGAACTGAGGTGCCAATGAAGATAAAGAACTCTTCACTTGTGTATGCAGCTCAAGGTGGAGTGTGGCTGAAGCTTAGGAGTTTAGAGCCAGAAAAAACAAATGTTTAATTATTGATCAAATAATTTCAAAATAGAATTATAAAGACGTGACTGAAATCGTTGGTGGTTGTTATGCAATGCAATTAAAAGCTCAGTTTAGCAGTATGTAAACTACTAAAAAGTTTCTTATCAAGGCTAAGGACTTAAAACTGTATTAAAAGAATATCATCTCTCTATATTTGTTCCATTTGCGGATAGTTATATTCTAATGGAAGGTAGAAAAAGATAAGATGAAAAGACGAAGAAAGAAAACATCTGACCCTAAGACCTTCGAAATGGAAGAGGAGACAAAAAAGAAACACCAAATTATAGAAAAATGGTAATTGCAAGCCTGACTTTAGGAGCAACGTGCGTCGTTAGCAAATAGCAGAAGGTCATAACGTGCGCGAAAATTCGAGGTGACTAGAGCCCACGTGGTAGAAGTCACAGGTGATTATTTTGTAATAACCAATATGTAAGTGTATTGGCAAATAACGATCGAGTTCCAACTAGTTTTGAATGTAAAGTCGGGTGACGAGTATCTAGGACATATTTTGTGATGTCAGAAGAAATATAAATGTTCTATCAATGTGTTGCATTCAGATAATATTTTTCGAGTGCACTTATGAACATATCTGTCAGTGATAGATATTGTTACATGTTAGAGACGACGGAGCGAGATAAAATACAGGACTGATTGGAAAATGTATAGCGCGTATACCTAATGTTTAGGTAGATTTTTGTTGATATAAGAGTATTTACTAAGATGTGTGTTAAGGATTTTACATAAGTATAGACAGATACTTACTAGTTACTACTTCATGACTGTGTACTGTGCTCTTTTATACATATAAAAAATAAAAGCTAATATTTGTAAAATATTTATCATTGCTTTATTTATTAGCCCCGAGCGTACGGCGCGTAGCGTTCCGCGCGCGCCTCAAAGAGCCAATAGACCACCACAGACGGGGCCCTAAAGGGCTGATGTTCAGCCGGGGTTGCGGGGTAAGCGCAATAAGGTACCGCGACCTCGGCACAGAGCAGGAGAAGGAACAGGGGGGTTTTTAGTCAGTAAGAGTCTGACACTCCCTCCTGCCCGGCCCTGGGCGGGAGAAGTCATTTGATGATTTTCCCCTCACAAAAAAAAAAAAAAAATTATTAGTGAGGTTATGGAATATAACTTTATTGTACTACTGTAGCTATAACTAATCCTGTTTTTCTTTCTCCTTAGTTTGTGTTTCTTTATCTACGTCTTTTTTATCCGTCGAGGTAGATGTCTCTTGGTCGGACTCAGATTTTATTTGGACGAAATTAGTTTCTGGTATCTGAACTCGTGTACTGCGTTTTTTTTCTTTATCTTTTTCTGTTTGTATAGCCACTGTCTTTAAATTAGACTTCTTCGTTCCTGTTCTATTGTGATCTTTTGGAGAACGTCCCTCGTTTTCTTTTGCAGCATTATCTAGTAAGCGTTGCAAGGCTGGAGTAATGTTCATTTCAGAAACATATCGTAAAGGTCGCTTCGAAGTAGATGGTGTTGGGTTATTGTCATTACCAAAATCAACTTGATCCGTCTTATACTTTTTAGCCTTTCGAATATCTTTTAAAAAAAGGCTGTCTTGTCGTTGAAAAGTAGTTTTAAGCTCGGACTCCTGTTTAAAGATTTTTTCATGTGCGAATTGTCTTGAAATATTTTTTGAACGACTTTCATTTTCAACTACGTAGAATGAAGATGGAATGTCGTTGCTTTCACTAGAAGTGGGTGATAAATTTAATTTAGCTACTAAATTATATAACCATTCGACAATGAAGGCTTGATCTTCTGGAACCTTTTTTACGGCTTCTGACGTGGCCAGACTTAATTGGTCATACATTACTGATGATTCTGACTGTTCCAAGTCATGCTCTGTCAGATAAATGAGTTCGCTTTCTTTTGCTTGTAGTGAGCCTCCGCCTCCCTCTTCAGCGCGCAATATTGACTTTAGTGGAAACTTGGTAGGATTGGATAGATTTATATTGCTTGGGCATTCCTCTTTTTCATTAAACCAAGTGTCTGGTGAAACAGTCCTAATTTGGACTTCGTGTTTTTCCTGAATTATCAGAAAATATTATTTAATATCTGAACATACTTATCTAATAGGATTGGAAACTTGTACACGAGTGATGTTTACCCTAGACATCAAGCTAAGAAAAAACTAATATAAACTGATCTATGAATGTGCGGAGAGCTCATAGGAAGCGAAAGCATGGTAAATTGGTTTTTAGAACTTGATGTTTATCCCATGTGTCCGATGTGTACAAACGCGATAGTACACCTACTCTTGTTTCATGCAATAGACAGGTTATTGACAAGAGAAATTAAATTAAATCAAAGCCTTGCACGTCCCTCAGCTAACGAGGTAATCCATTAATAAGTTGACCTTTGAGTCAAGACGAAAATGTGGTTACTTAAGTAGGCATTAATTAAATCGATCCTAATTTAAAATACTGACAACAACGGATATCGATCTTGAGGTTCTGGATAAAGAATGGTTATTTATTTTAGCAGTAATACAACTAACCAGTAAGGCGTCGATGTCGCCATGTAGGTGGACGCTGACGCGTACTAGTTGGAAGTCGACAGCCAGCAGGACGCGGACTAAAGCGAGGATGGCGGAGAGCAGCCAACAAGCGGTGTGTAGCCAGGCCGAGAGTATCGTAAGACGTGTCGCTTGGTATACGCCACGGATGCGACGCTCATACGTTAGTGTCGCTACGTTTATCGTGTATGAGCAACTGCGGACAGATTATAAACGTGATTTTATTTCTCTGATGTAGAGTATCTAAATTTGTATAAAAATGTGGTTCCATGGTTTCGCTTTAGTTTGAGAACTACTGCATCAAATTGGACATGTTTTTTCACTTTGTGCATTAATTCCATTCCATGGCTTGAAATGGAAGCCAATATCCTACTAATATTATTAATTTGAAAGTTTTCAAAACGTATGGATGTATGTTTGTTATTCTTTAACGCAAAAATGGCTGGACAGATTGGTCTGAAATTTGGTATGTAGGTGTAGGTGATACCCTGTATTAACACATAGGCTGCTTTTTATTAATATACCACGCAGCAAAGCCGCAGGCCGAAGATATATAATAAATTAGTCAATTTAACATATCTGTGTATACAGGTTTTCGTTTTTTTAATCGTTTATAGTTTAAACTTACGTGGGACTGCCGGTGATCTCCCCTAGCTTAACGCAAAGTTCCTGTAACCCATAGTGGGTGATTGTTGAGGAGTAGATGCACAGGCTGCCCATCGCTAAGGAGAACACAAATACAGGGGGCAGCACTCGCCAAGGCCGTTGTAAACTATACAATCAAATCAAAAATAATAGATTTTTAGAAAAAACTTACCTAAACACAAGTAAGTAAAATGAAGTTAGTATTTTTGTCTAGTTGATCAATGTTAAGTGGCATAACAGAATGCAATAAAATAACACTGATAAATCACGCAGAATCGACCTTACCCAGATAGTGTTCTGCTGCCAGTGGAGCACATAAGGAACATGGTAGTCCACACGAGCCCGAAGATGCCAGAAACAAGGGGAACGTACGTCGGTAGGGAACAGGTGCTCTTCTCAACCCATTGGGTGCTCAGAAAATCCACTGGCACTAAAAAAAACTACTATTAGTTAATTGCTGTAAATTAGGTGCTTGCCTTACATGGGTATAAAGAAATTGTTTCTGTACCTTCTGAAGTATTCGATTATCATTCCTTTAGAAGAGAAAAAGAAGGCTATGGACTTTCTAATTTTGTTTTATCTTGAGATGTTAATGATGAAATTATTTAATAGGTATCAAACAGTGTAAAAGCGAAATTCGCAAATTTTTATTTTTTATGGTTTAAGTCGGCGAACGAGCAGACGGATTACCTGATGGTAAGCAATCGGCGCCGCCCATGGACACCCGCAACACCAAAGGAGTTACGAGTGCGTTGCCGGCCTTTTGGGTTGCGAATATAAAGATCGGGAAGGGATAGGTGAAGGGAAGGGATTGGGCCTCCGGTAACCTCACTCACACGGCGAAACACAACACTGTGGGTTTTTTCTCGCCGATTTTCTGTGAGGCCGTGGTATCACTCTGGTCGAGCCGACCCATTCGTACCGAAGCTTGGCTCTCCCACATTCTCATCATAATTCAGAGATCATAATTGTCAGAGAGTCAACGAATACATGTCATAAATTAGTCTTACAATCTGCAAAATCTTTAGTGGCGGGCATGAACTCGTAGATAACGTTGTGCTTAAGCGTTGTGAGGGAGAGGAGCTTCGGGAACAGCACGCACTTCTCATCGAACAGGTACATCAGCATGTGGAAGCAAAACGTGCAGAACGAACCGAAGACGAATGCTAAGAAGAACAGGAGTAGGTGGGCTCCTGTAATAGACCATCAGTGACTAATATATATATTAAAAATGAATACTAACTAACTTTACGACATATTAAAACCTGGCTGGTGTATTTGATTTCTCTCTCAAATATTTTCAGAAAAATTATGTTTTGTAAATATTTTTCAATGATTTCTGTGTGCTTCAACTCGTTGTAATGACTATAATAGGTTTTTTTTTGAAATGTAACTTGCACTAATTAGCAAATGTTTTGTTGCTCAATAAATTCATGTTGATTCTTAACATAGTAGGTTAACTCCTTTTCTATGCATAACAAGCTCTTACCCGCGGCGTCGCTCCCGTCATTTGACTGCCTACCCTACTCTACCTACCCTACTTTATCCTATCCTATGTCCTTCTCCCGGCTCTAAACTACCTCCCTACGAATTCTATCAGCTAAATCGGTTCAGCCGTTCTTGAGTTATAAGTGGAGTAACTAACACGACTTCCTTTTATATATATAGATTGGGATCACAGACCTAGGCACGGTTGGTTTAGAAAAACAAATCAAAATATAATACATAACTAGATGTACCTTTCCATGCTCCATTGATTTCTAATTCACTTCTTTCTATCAATCTGTACTCTTCGAAGATGGGAACTCGGTTCATTTTCCATATATCTGCTAAACTATTTACGCATATTCGATGTCAAAATGTTAGCCATATACTTACATTACGTGTTTTGGTGAAAGCTACTTAAGTCAAAATATAGACAGCAAAGAGTACCTTCTTCAAGAAGTAAGATAGCGCCTATATCTATTACATTTTTTTGTGACAGGTCCCAGCGTAGTCAGAGACGTTATTGAGACAAACCAAACATTGAAGAAAAAGAAAAAGAGAAAGATCCGTTAGGATATTTTTATTGCTTTACACATGCCTCATTTTTCACCTCCAAATGCTTCTAGGGCAACAAAATAAATGAAAGAAATAACACGTCTTTGGCACTAAGGAACGGCGTCGATTAATGGTGTACTTCTTACCTTTTTATTTAAAATGGCAGTAAGCATAGTTGCAGTTAGTTGCTTTAAAACTCTAGTAGGCGCGGAAGAAACGACAAATGAAAAAAATAATTTCAGAATTATCTGTTTATTTAGTTGCATAACAGATTGGTAAATGAAAAGCAAATATAAACATAAATTTCATTTGCGCATCTTCGAGAATTGCAGGCAACAAAAAATAAAAATAAAATTGCTCGGTTTATAAATAATAATTTTAATTGATTTTGCACGCTATGTTAAATGCTTGATAAAGTTCATGCGTCGAACGTGTTAGATGTGTCGTTAAATGTTTAGATTAAAGGTCTCTTATCGAGGTTCTGTTGTTTACGAACATAATAGAAGTACCTATTCTTCGAATCAAGGTCCATTCAGTATTTAATTCATTAAAATTTTGTGTAAACTATCCAATCAGTACCATTATATCAATGCATAATCTATAACCGCTGGTTACTCGTATAATGTTCTTACTTATGTACCATTACATAAGTAAGAACCTACCTATGTATGTACAATTATAAGTAACTACATGTCATGTGATGTAACTTGACGATGTTTGTGCACAATCGATCCAGTCGCATCGATTGATGATAATCGTTGGTCCCTAGTGATGTGCCATGATCGATTATATTCAACTTTTTAAAATATTTAACTAGTAGTAAAGTAAGTGTGGCCGGCTATACCATAGTGATGCCAAGGCCTCGCAAAAAACCGGCGTGAAACAACCACAGCGTTGTGTTTCGTCGTGTGAGTAAGATTACCGGAGGCCGATTCCGCCTCCTCAATTCAAAATCTCCAAAACCCTGATCCACAAAGTTATCTCCTCAGTTGTTCCGGTTGTTTACGGGCGTCGCTGATTGCTTACCATCAGGAAGTCCGTCGGCTCGTTAGCCGTCCTATTACATAAAAAAACTTGGTAAACTTTCTTCTTCCCTGCCTACTTCTCTTGGATGTGTGTTGTAATGGTTTCTGATTCTCTATGAGCGTTAAAAACCAATGGGAAATAGGATTGTGTGATTGAATGGACTGAGGGCCCATTCTCCAAAAGTCTTCAAACAATAGACAATAGTCCTTTGTGATCCTATGAGGTTAGCATGAGTCAGTAACCTATTGAGTGCGATATTCATCAGTTTTAAGCGAGAAATTCCAAATCGCACTACCACTGTCCACTTAAATGCTTTAGACCCAATACCTACTTATTGAAATAAATTTATCCGCGGATTGCAAACAGGAATACGTAATTAGCGTTTTTAGTTATTCACCATGTGTGGCGATAATTGAATTGATAAAGAGAACTATAAAATTTTAAGTATAATTATCACCTGTTTATGTTGATTAAATTTTAAGTGAAAACATTAACATGTTTCGTAACGAAGTTTACGTGATCATCAGTGGATTTGCGGAAGAAATGTGTAATGATATTATGTTCGGTGGCATTCAAATGTGTTAGTTGTTCTTATCGATAGCGGTTTAAGTAAACGGGACACAACATTATTATGTGGAGCGAGTGACAACGGGCGCTTAGTGATTACGCGTCCAACAAAACATCTTACAGCCGACACAAACAGTTGTAATATTTATTTGAAACATGAAGACGTATATTTTGTTGTGTTCCGTATTAGCTGCAGTTAATGCTATAAACATTGATTTATCGTCCAGTGACAGTGTTGTGTGGACTTTTTTGAACAGTAACAGAAGTAAGATTCGTTCTTATGTAATTATGTACTAGGTACTTATATAGTTCGCAGCAAGGTTTTGTAACTTTATTTATTGACATTCTTGTTCGAACTAATTTTTGAATGAAAACCGCCAATGATGAGGAAATGTTTCGTTAGGTAAACACATACGGCCTTTGTTTTTAAATACAAAATCAAAGGAATTATAAAATAGCAGTGTTAACATTCGTTAAAGATTTGTATCTACATGTTTTTTACATAAATATCCAGTAAATGCAAAAAAACCGATCTAAAAATGTTTGAATATAAAATAATCGTGCTTTTAATTAAGTATATGGCGATAGTGCGTAATGATATTGAATTAACACACCTAACGTTGTTTTGGTAACATAGTAATAAAATTCTGATTGTTACACTAAACTACCTACTTTGTTGTTAAGTGTTCAAATGCCATCATTACGCAAATATTTAACTAATGTTAAAAATATAATTGAATTCAATAAGCTATGCAAGCACGAACAAAGTTGGGTTTTTTATTATAAGTGGTTTAAAAAAAAATGTTTACAAACAGGAATTTGTATGGATGACGAAACAAAATTCCAATATTTTTTCGATGTCTTCTTAGAGCACCTAGCCAATTCTTCTTAGAAATATTGACAAGAAAATATATTGATAACGTCTATTTTGGAGTAAAAATGCTATTAAGGATTGGATTGAAAGTATCATCTGTTAATTATTTTTTAGGTATCTTGGGCAAGGCAGATGTGCCGGGCGGCATTTACACGGACTTGCAAGCAAATGGCGTTATTGGAAACATCCTGGCTGGAGATAATGACGTGCGCACACGATGGGTCGCTCACGAGTTGTGGACGTACACCGGACAGTTTAATGGTACCTATTCGTTTGTATGCCGGTCTGTCTGTTTGTTTATTATGATTTTAAGGGCAAAACTTGTAAAGAGATACCATTTCAGAATCAATTAAGTCATAACATATAATATCTTTTTATCCTTTTTTCATATAATATCTTATTTCTTCTATTTAATATGGTATAAATATGTTCATAAAGTCTGCCTGTCTTGATACTTGACACAATATAAAGCAATTGATTAAAAAGCCAAATTAAAACAAATTTAAAACTGTAACTGGAAATCGGTTGAGAACACAGTTGAGAACACTGTCAAAGCGAGAAAGATTTAATTCTGAAACCCAATTATTATACGAACGAGTTAAAAAGTTATTAATATTGTTTTTCAGTGTCAAAGGAAGTTATATTGAACTCTAGAGTCTTGCACTTAGTGTTCGAAGGTGTGGACACTGCAGCATTTATATCGCTGAACGATAATCCTATTGGATCTGTGAATAATATGTTTGTGAGATACGTTTTTGATATCAAGGACAGTCTTCAGGTAATGATCTCAATATTTTATACTATTCATTCATGTGCAGATTGAATGACCACTACACGAATTGGTTTAAGGGCATTTCCTATAGTATCTTAAATACCTATACAAACTTATTTTTTTACTTAAGTCATTGACTGTCGACAGATTACTGTTGAGGGTAAATCCTCCCCTAGCGTAGCCCACATATAGTCTCCCATGGCGTTCAAAGTGTTAAAAATTGCAATATTGTACTTTTGATAAGTCCAAATTCAAAACTCTTCAGTCTTTTCCCTATCATAGCTACCTCTGCCATAAAAAACATAAATATTGCTTTTATTTAAAGGTCTAAACCAATTTGAATTTTAACCATGAATTTTGTAGAAGCACTAACACCATAAGTATCACCAGTTTGGTGTACTGTATGTACTTTCTATTTGCAGGAGGGTTCAAATGAGCTGAAGGTGTTCTTTTTGTCGCCGATACAAACCGCTAAGGTTCGGTCCGACAAGTATTTTACGGCTCCTGAATGTGTGCCTGCAGAGTACAACGGGGAGTGCCACGTCAATCAGATAAGAAAGATGCAAGCATCCTTTAGCTGGGATTGGGGACCTGCATTTCCTTCTGTTGGGATTTGGTGAGCTCTTTCTTATTGACAGTTGTCCAATCTAAAATTGGATTGCCTGAAGTGCTCATCTGACATAGGTCTGGTCCCGAGTTGAGTACGAACCCTCATATTTTATGAAGGGTCCTCACAGGCTCAGCTTGCATTCAAATTCGATTAAGTAAATAATTAGTCTTAGGCCACGATTGTGTCAGACTATGGTTATTTTCCTTCGTATTGTTTGGGTCTTTATGCGATTTGTAGCGAAGATAAACAATGCGATTATCTTCATCCAAATAGAATTAATCAGTCAGATACCTTGCGAAGAGCTCAAGTGATAGTCTTATTTGCAAATGATGAGAGTTTTGTTTACCAAGTTTTATCTTATGTCAATAGTTTTTCATCGTAAATGAAAGTGAAATAATATGTATTTCAGGTAGGGAGTTCAGTACATTGATTTTATATTACTTTATTTATTATACCAGGGATGTTCTATCCTGAAAGAATACCTAGAGAATAAGTATCCTTATCCTCTTTATGCTTGATTTCTAAAAACTCCACAACACCACAACCAGAGCTTGATACCACGGCTTCGCAGACAACCGGCGTGAAGCAACTTACGTTGTGCTTCACCGCAGGCCCTATTCTTACCCACTACAAATTTCCTCAATCCTTATATGACCACCCCAGGGGTCGCCAACGCTCTTGTAGTAACTTCGTTTGTACTACAAGTTCCATGGTCTGCCCGTATGACCTAGGTACCTATGACATAAAAAAAAACATCAGTCGGATTGAATATTAAATCAAATCTACTATATTTCAGGAAGCCAGTTTACATCGAAGCTTACAACACAGCCATTATAAGATCATTGACCACGCACATAACGAAACAGAAAGAAGAATGGGCATTGAATATAAAGGCTTATTTAGAGACAAGTATGAGAAAGACACAAATCACTGGAATGTTAAGTGCGACACTGGAACTAGAGGGAAAACAGACAGTGAAGAAATGGGTGCCTGTTTATGAAACCAGTCAAAGTGATGGAACCTTTGTAGTAGAGCTTGAACTCAAAGTTAGTGAGGTAAGGGAGCAAAGTAGAATACATATTTGAGACGGAGGAGAGGGTCGAAAGATGACGATATTTAAATTGAAATCGCAACAATTCACTCGTACAGGAGATTGTGACATAATATTGTATACCATTTTTATCACAATTCTGTATGGTGTAAAGTATCGATTCGGATGAAAAAAATTATATGTTTTTGCAAGTATGCCATAAAACCGCACTTTTACTCGTCAAAATTATATATGATAAACTACATGAAGTTGAAGAACTTCATTTTCTATCTGACTACTCTGAGAAAAAATGCCTGAACAAACTCTAGAGATATCCAACAATTTTTTTTTTACAGAATCAGGTCAGAGTCTGGTGGCCGAACGGTTATGGAAAGCAGCCTCTTTACGAGTTGAATGTGCTTTTTGCATCTGACACATCTTTGAACGAGACCTCACACAAAAGGATTATGGTAGGATTCCGAACTGTGGAGCTAGTTGAAAGAGACGCTTCTGAAGTACTTGGTTAGTAGGACAACTTTTACGCTTTTAAAGGTTGAGTAGTTTCTGTCTATTCTAGCCTAGATCTAGATTTGTTGTCCCGCGTTTTGATCTGCCGACGGGGTCAAAAATCGATGAACGATGTAAGAATTTTATGTTTGCACAAATATACGACCATATTGAAAACAATAAGTGGTCATGTTGGTCATAGCCAAAAACGTTTATTCAGACCATACCATTGATTTTGAAACGAATGCTTTGTCGGCAAACGAATTACCTGATGGTAAGTAATTGGCGCCGACCTTAGATACCCGCAATTCAAAGGAGTGCCGAGTGCGTTGCCGGCCTTTCGGGAATTTAAGGATTGGGAAGGAATGGGGCGGATTGGGGGAGAGGAGGGGGGGGGGGGGGAGAGATTAGGCCTCCGGTAACCTCACCCACACGGCGAAACACAAAGCTGTGGTTGTTTTACGCCGGTTTAATGTGAGGCCGTGGTATCACTCTGGTCGAGCCGACCCAAAGGCTCTCCCACACTCTCTTACAAAATAATGAATTCATGAAACTAATTTATTTCACATCACTAGGTAACACCACAGCAGGGACCGGTCTAACATTTTATTTCAAGGTCAACGGCTACCCACTCTTCATGAAGGGATCGAACTGGATACCTTCCAATATCCTCCCTGAACTCGGCGAAAGTGAGACAGAAGTCGGTATGTACTCTTTTTTAATATTGTTTAGTTGGTATAGACAAATTTTAATATGGCCTTGGGTTGGAGAGGAAGAAAACAATGAGTAAGCATTTCTGGATATTTTGGGATATTATTAAATTTATAAAAATATTTAACATATTACAGTTGATAATCTTCTAAAGTCCGCTCAGGATGCTCACATGGCGATGCTCCGTGTATGGGGCGGTGGAGTCTATGAGTCCGACTACTTCTATGAAAAATGTGACCAACTAGGCATTCTCGTTTGGCAAGATTTCCTATTTGCCTGTGCTATGTATCCTACAGATTCTGACTTTATTAGGTGAGTTTATTATTAGTTTACTATTTTATACATACTCTTCTACATAGGTACCTTCTTTCAAATCCAATTTAAAAAATTTAAATTGTCTCTCTAAAGTAGCTTTTACTGGTTTATTGATAAAAAGACTTTATGCACATTAATAACTAACTTATAATTCTAGCACAGTTCAGGGAGAAATAGAACAGAATATATTACGCCTACAGCATCACCCCTCCATTGCTGTTTGGGCTGGTAACAATGAGAATGAAGCCGCTCTGGTAGGGAACTGGTACGGAACTAGACAGAACTTTGAAAAATACCAAAAGGACTATATTAAACTTTATGTGGAAACAATAAAGCCTATAGTCCAAGACTTGGATCCGGGACGGCGTTACTTGGTTTCAAGTCCTTCGAATGGTCTTGAGTCAGAGAAAGAGAATTATATATCACACAATCCTTATGATCCTCATTATGGAGACACGCATTACTACAACTATTTAGCAGATAATTGGAATATGATGACTTACCCAAAAACAAGGTTCGCGTCTGAGTACGGATTTCAATCTTTGCCGTCTCTCGCGACCATGAGGACTGCCACGAATAATTCCGAAGATTTCAGCGTGGACAGCAATTATTCTATCCACAGACAGCATAGCCCGAATGGATATTCTTTCATTGAATTGCAGATGAATAGTCGCATGAAAATAAATGAGGATGATCCAAAATATTTCGAGAAATTCGTTTTTTATAGTCAGGTAATTTGTTTATCTATCAAGACTAATATGCCCAAAACTGGCAGCTTTAAAGAAATTCCCAAATTTACTAATATTCACTAAACATGTTAATATGTATTTCATGTACTTTTAGATATCTCAAGCAATGGCGATAAAGACAGAGACAGAACTGTACCGTCAAGACCAGGCTAACTGGTATACAATGGGTGCTCTGTACTGGCAGCTAAATGACGTGTGGCAAGCTCCTTCCTGGTCGTCGATTGGTGAGATCAAATCCTTACCAATCATTATCAAGTAGCATCTTAGGCCACATAACTTGATGAATTACTTCGTTTACAGAATACACTGGAAGATGGAAAATGTTACATTATTTTGCCAAAAACTTTTTCGCGCCAGTTCTGGTGTCTCCTCGCTTAGACTCGACTGGTGAAATGGAGGTATACCTCATCAACGACAGATTTGTGCCAATAATGGAAGCTAAAATCACGATGGAATTCTTTAATTGGAGCAGCCCCGCCCCCATTCTTACCAAGCAATATCCAGCGAGCTGTGGACCTCTAACTGCGACATTACAACCAAATATAGACAAAACATTTATGGGCTATAAAACTGAAGAAATATTCGCTAAGTTTACTTTGCAAGCACCTGGTGTGCAGTCCCCACCGAACTATGTATTTCCGGTGCCATTAAAACACGTGACGACCTTGAAGAAACCACACATAGAGGTTCGTTTCTGGGGTTTTTCGATATAAATGATGCTGACATATAACTTACCTGAGTCCAACGCAAGTTTGCGTTAACGCGCGTATTTCGAAATAAAGTATATTGTTGGTCTATTTAATGTCTGATAATCAAACTTTCTGTTCTGACTAAAGGACCAACGTGGATGGCAGGCAACCTTATAATGTTCTATCTCTCTTACTTTACAGGTACTTGTATCGAATTTCGTTATGAGACGACAACGTCGAAGTCTTGAATACTCCGTACAGATACGAGTGGACACAGTGGTAGCCTTCCTGTGGCTAGAAACTACGGTAGACGGCAGGTTCGAACAAAATGGTCTCATCGTGACGGAACCCCAAATATCTGTTAAGTTTTTCTGCAAAGAACACGTGTCACCGAGAATACTGGAAAATTCTATTACGACGCAATATTACTTAAACTAACACGCTGGTTAGCTGATTTAATGGACCACTGAATAGGAACACGCTTTAAAACACACTGTACATTATGACTCAATACCAAATCCTTATTTACAACGTTGTTTTAATCTTATTATTATTAGTACCTCGTTTCTTCTCTGTGAATCCTGCTTTTTTGGGACAGAAAATCTAACTTCATCATCATCATCATCAGCCTATAAGCGCCCACTGCTGAGCCAAGGCCTCATCAAACATAGAGAAGGTTAGAGCACTAATCAGCACGCTTGCTCAAGGTGGATTGACGATTTCAAACTTTTAGAAATTTTAAGCCCAGGTTTCCTAAAGGTGTTTTTCTTCATCGTATGTCGGTGGTGTCTAAATAATCATAGAAAGTACATGTAACTTGGAAAAAGTTACATCGGTACTTGCCAGGTTTCGATCCTGTACCTTTATGCATGAGAAGCCTTAACCTCCAGGCCATCACGACATTTTTATTTGAGTTCGAATGATTAATGTAACTATTACATTAATAGATACGTACGAATAGGTAAAGGTTTAGAAGGAAATGAAAACACACAATAAAAAAGCAAATTAATATATTGTAATAAGGTTTTTAGTTAACAATAATGCGAATATGCGTGCGATAATTACAAACTAATGAATACCTGCAATACAATATAGTACAATGACGCATCTAAATTAATCTTTTGGACGTTTTTTCACGAACTGGTAAGGGCTTGATCATTTTAAGTAGCAATACTTTACAACTATTATTTTTATAGTAACGATTATATAGTCAATGGTAGTTTACAGATTTATGTACGTAGTATACATTAAGGGTAGGACTGGGTAGCTTGAATATTAAGTATTTTATAGACTTTAACACTGGGTTGAGATAATTACAGTAAAAATTTCTATGGAATGTTTCTTACTTCACACATTTCAACGATCGAGTGCACGAGGAAAACGCATTTTCCTTATACATCTCAAATAAACTGTAGCACGTGGACTTAGAATAGAAATTTGATTAACATAGACAAATCGTAAATATAGCTACCCTTATTGTTTTATAGATAAGATATCCGACGTCCAGGCGTAAATAGCATTAGTTTATTAATAATAAACGAAATAAAACGTGCAAATATTGAACTTAATTAAATACAAAATATACAAAATTTTGAGACTTATAAAAAGCTAGAGCGTTTATAAGGGCCCTTACCTATAAGGCCAATATTGCTTGGAGCAACGGAGACTCATCACAATAACGTATTAATATTTTCAAAAAGCACCATTTTTAAAATCAACCGTCATATACAGCGTTTTGTTTCACCACTATGATTTTTAATCGATTTTCTTTTGTTAGTTCAATCGATTTTTTTTTCTTAGTGTCAAGAATTGGTTATACATATTATAGAAGCACGTTTGGCTTCAGATTCAGAAGGCACAAAATCGAAAAATTAATAGTCCAAATAAATGTTCGTCACTTTTTTTTAAAGTAATTGATTTTTTGCCGTCATGTATTTAAGTATATCATTGTATGTATACCTGTATAAATTAAAATCCTATTCCAATACAAATTCTTCGAATCGATTTAGACTCGAGAAAAGCTCTACTAATTTCAAGTCACAACGGGACTCTTAGTCGAGAGCAGCGTGTGCTTCGCGGCATCGTCAACAGTTAATTCAGTAATTTTAAATAAATTTAGTAGGTATATGTCATGATGACACACGAAACGTATTATACACATGAACAGAAAAAAATGATTTCAATCCAAAATTGTGGATTGAGAACGTTGATTTAACTTTATTTAAACGTAAATAAATCAGTATGTTTATGACATATAAGAGTGGTGAAACATGCTCCTTTGAAGCAATTACTAATCAGATTACAAATAGCAAAATACACGATAAATTTTCTATAAAAAACTTTTGAAAAATTCTGAAAAATCATTTTCACAAATTTTGGCTTATACACTGGCGTGCATTAAAAACGGAAGACTTATTTATACATAAAGAATATGCTTTTTGTAAACAATATTATACTGAATGAAAATCAATTGCTTGATTAAAAATAAATTCAGTAAAATAACATTGATATACGTAGTTCTATTTAATTATTTCAAAATTACAACTGCAAACATGATTTCACCGTCATTTTTTTAAATACTGAAGGCAAACCTTTTCTATTGTCAGTTCATGCAGAAATTGCTAAAAAACATAAAATTCATTTAAATTGCTAAACAATTATTTTCGTTTAAATACCCATCTAATGGTGTAACGGAACGAAACATTATTGGTAATTAAAGTTTTAAGTACACGCTTTAATTAGTTTTTAATAGCAAATCTTTTACTTTATGGTCAAAACGAATGCTTTTCACTTAGGCTGGTTTTAGTGTCACGCGGACCGTCAGTACGGATCTCTCCGCACACACCGATCTGTATTAAGCCAAGGGAGCGTTTTAGTGTAATGTAGACGGGTCCGTACGGTCAACCGTCCGCGCGGACAGCTCCGCAGCCGTCCGCATGGCGCGTCCGTGCCGCGGAGCTATCCGCGCGGACCTCTACCTGCGCGCCTCTACCTGCAGTGATCGTTTTAGTATCGTGCGGAGCGCACGCGTCAGCGCAGTACAATCGACATCAGTCATGGCGAATATTGACACGAGTCGAGTGATCGATGAAGTTCGTTTGAGAAAATGTTTGTGGGATGCCTCTGATCCTCTATACAAAAACAAAGACGCGAAAAATAGAGCTTGGGAGGACATTGCCGACGTCATCTTTGAAAATATTACAGAACAAAACGAAAGAAAACAAAATGGTAAGTACTTGTATTCTGTTTTATTGTATTTAATCTTTGAAAAGTAGTCTGTAGTTACATAAGTATTTAATGTATGAAATATTATATAATAATAAAACAATTAAAAAATACGCGAGTCTTGCCATGGCACCCTGCCGGCTGGGCTTAAAAAGTACTCTGCAAAATGATCTCGCAAAGCGTTTCCGGACCTGGTTCTAGGTAAATTATTTGACATATCTGCCATACCCTCAATTGTCAGTGTATCTTCAATACTATAACCGTCGCGAACTCTTATAAAATTATTCAACACGCAGCATGCTTTTACAATGTTCTTGGCAACATTGAAACCTGCATTAATAGGTGTATGAAAGACTCTGAACTTGTTTGACATTATACCAAATGTTGATTCTATGTAGCGTCTACTGCGGCTCAATCTGTAGTTGAAAATTTTTTTCTTGTGGGTCATATTAGTTCTCACATATGGCTTCATAACTTTTTGAGATATTCCAAAAGCACCATCGGCTACAATCACATAGGGAACTGGAATATTCGTCCCGGGCAATGGCTTTGGTTCTGGAACATTGAGATCGTTATTTTCCAAGTTCCTGAAAAGTGTACTGTCTCGGAATATAGACGAGTCGGAATTTTTGCCATATGGTCCCACGTTTATGTACGTAAAACAATAGTTTGCATCACACATAGCTAACAGGACTATGGAATAAAAATTCTTATAGTTGTAGAACATTGAGCCACCACCAGCTGGATTTACTATTCGTATATGTTTGCCGTCAAGAGCTCCTATGCAATTTGGAAAATTGGCATTTTCTAGAAATCCATTACTTATATCTTGCCACATATCAGAGGTTCTTGTTGGTATGCATTCATCGTGTAGTGTTTCCCATATTACCATACACACTTCGTTCACGATTTTACTTATTGTTGCAATTCCCATCCTGAATGAATAGTGCAAGTCTGTAAATGTTCGACCCGTAGCCAGGAATCTAAAAAAAAATGTTTGTATCATTACAGTTAAACTACTTCAGCAAAGATGGAGAACAGCCAGAGATGCATTCTTCAAAACAAAGGCTTCTATGAAAAATCAACCATCTGGAAGTTCTGCTAAGAAGTTCAAAAAGTATATTTACTATGATGAACTTATGTTCCTAAACCCTTCAACTGACAATGATTTTGATGAGTCAATGATATCATCGCCCCCAGTTAATGAAGCATCTCCAGAAAACGTAACGTCTCCAGAAAATACAGAATCTCTAGAAAATATTTCATCTCCACAAAACGTTACGTCTCCAGCAGCATTACCAGAGAATATTGCATCACCAGAAAACACAGTGACTTCAGAAAATACACAGCGTGCAAGTAATCACGGATCACAAAATCCATGGATCCAAAAAAGAAAAAATAGACCACGACAAACAAATCAAGAAAATTCATCATTTGAACGCGAGTTATTGACTTTGCTGTCTAACCAGACACCTGATCTTGCCTCTGATGACCTGGCTTTTTTTTCCTCGTTGGGTCCAATTTTACGCGATTTTGATATTGAAGAGAAGTTAGAGTTTCGGGCAAGAGTGCTGCGCGAAGCAACGGCAATTAAAAATATGCGAAATAGGCCCAGTAGCTCTTCATCTACCTCAAGATTTTCACCAAGATATAATACTTATGCTGCTGGCGCATCGTCAGAATACGACTATGTGTATGAAACTACAACAGGTTATCAAACAGCAGAGTATCGCTCAGATAATAATCGATATAATTAACTTTTTTACTGATTTTTAAAATCTAAATTTTTTCTGAACTCAAGCACAAATAAATAAATATTATATTACTGAGAGAAATGATTTTTTATTCTTACCTCAAAGTAACCATCAGGCGTTCAATCGGTGGTATAGGTAGGCGTCGTAAGCTGCAATAAACCAGTTTATTTTTTGTCTTTGACAGTAGTTCGTCAAAACTTCTAGTCGACATACGAAAGTAGTTGAAGAACTTTGTTTCGTCAGCCCTCAAACTGCCGTATAATGTGACGAATTCTCCCGCGACGGCTCTCTGCTCTATTAAAGGGTGTACATGCAGTCTCCTTCTTTGTTTTTTTTTTCTTGAGTAATATAGGGAAATAACCAATAACACCCGCCACAATGGATGCATTGCGCGCGTCTGTACACCACGGCGGTCAGGGCGACACTAAAACACCATAACGCGGACCATCAGTGCGGATCGGTCTGCGCGGAGAGATCCGTACTGACGGTCCGCGTGACACTAAAACCAGCCTTACATTACATTCCTCCATTAATTAAAATAGAACCTTATGTAAACATAATTAAGCAGATTTTGTTTATTATAAATACTATTCAACTTAGTTACAAGCAAAGCGAAACAGCAAGGAAATCAGAAAACCAATAAAATACGTTTTTACTTCCTACTATCGTCTTTTCTCAATAATACTAATATATTTCATATTTTGAAGGAAATTGATTTCATTTACTTTATATTCTATTTTTATCGTTGTAATAAATATTAATTTAATACTTATTTTATCCTAACTAACACTTCATAAATACATAAATATAAATAAATAATAAATTAATGAATAAAATCTCTTGAATCATTAACTAAATGCTTATAGACTAAAATCCACTATCAAAGCGGACCTTTTTGTTTGAACTGCATATTAAAATGTACAACTTCGGACTGAAAAATATGTAAAAACAATAATAAAATATTATCATCACCACTAGTAAATGAAAATAAATCTGAAATATAACAACTTGCAGATTTTTCTAGTTTTAAATATGGAAACGAACACGAAGCGACAACAAAACATAAAAAAACAACAACATTATATAGATTATAACATTTATTTTTAAGAACGTATTATACCGACTGTCCCTATACACGCACCCCAAAAGGAAAGACCGAGAGGTAAAGTAATGTAAAAGTACGACTTGAGAGAATCTCTTAAGTTTTAAGTCATAACGGGTCTCTTATTCATGAGGGGTATGCGTTGTGCGGTAAATTTCACGTGAAATAGTTTACCTAAGTAAGACTTCATGTGAAATTCTTGTTTTATTTCATGTGTGGTGATGATCAAAGTTGACAAAGGTTAATCGTCCTCAGATCAGCCTCTACGATCGTATTGATTTCGGTATAATACGTACTTGATTTGATATCTTAAAAGAATGTGTGTTAAATCTCAAGTAACAACAATGAAACAATGAATTTATTTTTGCAAATAGGCCATAAAACGGCAATTTTACACGTCAAAAAGCCTAACGTGATTCCACAAACCAATCAGATTACTTGGTTAGTTCAACCTGCATTAATTTTCATATTTTTATGTGTCCATCACATGCCCTTAATGGACCATATATTTGTCAGTTTATTTTACTTAGATTTAACAATTAAAGTGTTACGGACTTATTATTCAATTATAAATAACAGTTTTGATTGGTTGAAGAGGACCTTACTTAACTTGAGATAAAACATAATTCCGAGTTGAGACTTACACAATATAGTGGAGGTTCTTTTTGTAGGTTAAAATATTAAAATACATATATATACTTATAATAAATATAAACAGCCAGTCTCACAAGTTCCTGCTTTTAATGGGCTGGTAATAATGCAACATTAAACTTATAATTTATATAAATATATATTATAGTAAAGTCGTAAAACTGGCTGTAACTTTACTAAAACAGCACATTTATTAACGGCACTTATCATGCACTAAGTGTAGAGAGTCCTGTATTAAGCTTCTCTTTGGCTTTTTGACACAGATTCAGCTTTGAGTGAGTGGCTAAGTATATAATAATATAATAATTATAATATCGTGCGATGTTTGTCACTAGTTAATGATATAACAATAAATATAATATAATACACTTGCGGACAAATTAAATGGTACACTTCATTTTTTACTAAACTTTTTTTTGCGGACATGACATCTAGTAAGATATTTAGTGCACATATATCTAATATAAGGCTATATATTTATAGATGTCCCAATAATTTGTCCTGAAGTGTACAAAATGAGTATTTAATGTAAGTTACTCTTAACATTTGGTGTCCAGCTGTTACATATTGCTTATATCAATTGACAAATGAGGTGACGACGTAACGAGTTAGTGGTGCATGCAAGCCCATCAGAGATAAGCACCGAACCTGCAAAAAACATCATTTAATTTAGCTGAGATATAGTATTATACAGTGTGCTACTAAAACTATATCCGATCCAAAAAAAATGATAGCGATGAACTAGTAGTAGAAGTAATACTTTAGAACATAAAAGAAGGTGGGTTTTGTTGATGATTATGCAGGGTGTCCGGTAATCATTTGATAACTTTGAAATGCCTTTAAGCATATCTTTTGGCCATTCAGAAAAAAATATCATATGTAGTACCTAAGTAATGATGTCTTTAAGTACAAGAACTGGTGCTAAAGGAAATAGAAAGTGATCCGTACATTATTTCATTACATACCCAGATTTTTAAGTATTGCTGTAAAAATAAATTATACACAATTTATCTAAAATAAATATATTTTTTAAAGTTTTTATAAAAACTTGCAATTTATTTTTTCGTAAATTTATTTATCCTTTTTTTCTGAATGGTCGCAAGATATACCAACTAAAAGTAATTTCAAGACTATATTTTATTTTATGTCTTTTTGGATCGGATAGGCTTTAAATAACATACCGTGTTAAGAAGAACCAAGGAGAGTAGTTAGGTTTATCTTTCAAAGTGATATAGAGAGAATAAGAAAACAGTAGGTAGTTAGAGATTGAGTTTATATATGTAATTATACATATTTATAAGAAAAAAATAAGAGAGAAAGCATATTTGAAAAAATAAATAAAGGAGTTGAAAAGCCCTTTTTAAACAAACATGCATAGTTTCATAATTGCATTTAAATATATATTTTATAGACTGTATAATACATTGTAGGCGTGTGTCAACAATTTCGTGCAAATCTGGCTAAAATGGAAAGAGTCAACACCTACATGCAAAAAAAACGTGCGAAGTACTATTGCATACTTACCAAAATAAAGCAAGCATTAATCAACTCTACTTCTTAACTTTTAAAGTGCAGTTTTGTTTGATTTAAACACATAAAGGTGCTTTAACAAATTAAAAAAATACGGTGCAAAAAATATCATAATCTACTTTATACACCAAATACACACCTTATCTTAAAAACATCCCAATAACGACCTAAATTAACAAAACATCAGAGAAAGGTATAAGTAGTTTACTACTTTATTTAAAGGAGTTTGTGCGATATATTTAGAATTCAGTTTAATTAGGACTATGAATTTTAACACACTATTTATAGGTAAGAAAATCGATTGGAATACACTGTTGAAGTTATGATGTTTTGTTTTTCAGTTTAGACGATTATTTTGTATGCGTATCAAAAATATTTCTCTATTGCAATATTTATTCTAGGAACTATTTTATATCACTTTTTAAATTGATGGCAATAATTTCAACAGTGTATAGGTAAATCAAATGTTACAACCACAAGTCAGTGTGGTGGTTGATTACATTATGACAAAGTTCCAAAGGGTTTGCATTCAAAACTTGAAAATAAACCAAATAATCCGGATCTCACTCCAAAACACGATGATTTAATAAAATTTTATAAACAGTAACCTTATCCATTTCAGAACAAATTTCAATAGAGTAAATTGCATAATTTTGATATTATATCTCAGCAAGAATTTTTTTTTATAATAAAATCATATTAATCGTACATTTAATATTTTCAACTGTTATTTATAGATGTCATGAATATTAAACTAATAATATAATTTTTTAAATCGAACATAAAAAAGGTTACATCCAATATTCTTATTTTGAATTTGCTCTTTGGTGGATAGAACAAGATGGACTCCTATAACCCAGAGATTTACCTGACTCTCGAGTGCAGAGCTGCCCTCTCCTCGGAAGGTGTGTCCCTGAGGAATGTGGAGGACAGATTGAGGACCACCATGAGGCAGCAGAGCAGGAGGGGGCCAAGGATTGCACCTTCCGGTCCCAGGTAGAAAATACCGCCGGCGATCGCAAGACCGGTCACATAAGGATGGCCGCCGCTGGAAGTTACAATGTTAAATTAGATTCATGTAATCAATTAATGACAAACCAATGTTTACGTACTACAATAAAGGTCATCATTTTCATTAAAAAAAGGTAATCAGTTGGTAGTTTTAAAAAAGCATTGGATTTAAGCATCTTTTAACACGATTTCAGCCAGAGATTCTTATTGACTGATAATTTTTTTTTCGGAAATAATGACAATCAAGAGCTTTCTTGTACTTAAAAGGCCGGCAACGCGCCTGTGGCTCCTCTGATGCCGCAGGTGTCCGTGTCTGGGCGGCGCCGATCAGTTAAGATCAGGTGATCCGTTGCTCGTTTGCCTCCAATTCCATAAAAAAAACACACGAAAATCGTTGAGATACTTACTCTTTAATCTCAGCGTAGACGGCAGCATCGAGGAAAGCTATAGGAGCTGCTTGCGCTATGGGTAGGAGTAATGCGGCCATTGGTCTGCCTTGCAGCCATACGTCCAGGGCGGCCGGTATACCCGCTAGGTACGGGCCCAGGAACGGCGCTGCACCTAACACTGCTGCTAACACTGCAAAAAGCGCTTTAACACTTAGAATTTACGACACAAACCTTTAGTTACGTTTTTTTAAACAAGGCGAGCAAAGGAATTACATTTTTTTGTGCCGTTAAATTCATTGTCTAGATTTATCATTAAAAGTAGAATCGATTAAATCCTCAATCTCTAAATTCCTAACCACACATTTGTAACTAATTTATGGAATACCTGTGTGTTACAGGAGTCCATGGGCGGCAACCATTGCTTACCATTACGTAATCTGTCTGCTCGTTCGCCGACCTATCCCATAAAAACAAATAATTCCTATAGTGGGTCAAATCATATCTCAATACGGTAAGCTGTTGAGTTCATAAATAAAAACAATCTGCAAACGCTATTCCCAGGTCAAATGAAACGATAAGTGTCGATAAAATAACGTTTATTATTATTGTTATTTGTAACAAGTCAACAATTACGTCTTCTTTTTCTTAATTTCATTTTGCCTTGGTGGCCGTAACTGCGCGTACACATATTTGTAAAAGTCTAAAGCTTTTTGTCTGTCGTACGCAACATTATTCCTGCACTGTGCACCGACGCAGCGGTTCACGTATTCTTCGGGAGGCGACTTTGTTTCATCTACAGGTCTTTTCCGAGACGAGCTCGTGCTTCGCAGCGTTTCTACGAAGTCTTTAGAAGAATCGAAGACAACTTTGATAGCTGTTCTGTTGGTCATGTTCAAGTGTGTGTCTTTAAGAAGATCGTCCTTATTGACTGCTGTCATGGCGGCGCTCGCGTCACCGTTCGGCGAGTTAGCCTGACGTATCAAGTAGAAAGTGGGGGCCGGCTCAGTGACATCCTCGTCAGTCGTTACCTCGTTATTATTATGTTTGTCAGTGTACATCAAACACATCACTTGCGGATCCAAAATCAAGTGACACATATCATTCTCTTGTAATATTTTTACAACATCCACGGGCAGCGTGCAAGGAGCGAATAGACAGGTGTTGTTATTTGTGTTGTCTAAAATCATGTTGTTTAACTCGCTGATAGTGTTAAGAAATGCTATATTTCTACATTTACAGTCCATTTTGTTGCTAGTAAACGTGACTGAGGTTCCAGCAGTTTTGCAGCTACTAAAGTCAAATGTTGTGGAGTGTGGCTCAATGTTTTGGATTCTGTTTTGAGCAAAGTTAAATTGTTTGTTACTGCTCCTTTTCCTTAGACACTTGATGCTGCTCAGTGCTCCAGTTTTTAATCTAGTGACGTCATTTCGAAGGATGTCTGTGTTGACAGACTTAAGTACTAGTCCATTTGCACGTATTTCTTTGAAAGTATTACCAGTGATACGTAGACTATCTGCAGTTATGTTAACCGCTCCACTGATTATGTCATTGAATGTAGTCTCAGTTATATGAGCAGACGTGCTCTGTACAACAATTCCTTTAAATTCTATGTTTTCTATCCTACTATTGGTGATAGTGAACATCGAGTCTGGGCCCATAATAGCCTCTATGGCTTGAGTGCGTACATCTGTTATTGTAACGTTATCAAATTCAATACTTTTCATACCAGTTACATTATAAATCGCTCTAGTGTTTATCGAGTTTATTTTGCTGTTAGTCACACGTAGTTTTTTCAATGTAGTTGTCCCGAGGCACTTTAGCTCAGTCGTAGTGCTTGGAGTCTTGAAAATTTTTCTTGGTAACGATATTACCTCCTTGACATTGTCTATGGTGACTTCAGGGGGAGTTTGGAGCAAAGAGGTTGCTGATAAAGATACAAATTCTAGTCTCTCGCAGTCTTTGACTTTGAAACGTTGTAGTTGAGATGTTCTCTGTAGTATAGGACAGTCTAGAACTACTCGTAAGTCTCTACAGTTTTGGACGGTGAGACTTGTTATATGATCTGTGTAGTAGTCCTTCAGGTGAATTATGTAGTCCTAAAACAAAATTAGGAATGGTTTTCACAAATTCTATAAAAATACTTTGAGCTTTAAGATCATTTAACTAACGTTCATAATCAAATATCTATTTTTGTAACATTAAGAATCAGAACAAATTGGTACTTACATCGTTGCCAACGCCGCAGCTGTATACTAATTCATTGGGCAAGTTGTTGAGACAGGCCCACTCAGGGTCTTGGCAGTTCGTGAAGTTGATCCTGATGCTCAAAGCTGACTGCACCAGAACAGCAAACAACACAATGTTCCCGTGTGCCATCACTAACACATGCTCTTCAACACACTCACTATTTTGCACAATGCGCGCGCAAAAACACGTCCACAAGTGAACATTATCCCGAGATAATTCTCCGCTAATGTGACGCCGTTCGTCAATTTTATCGGAAAGTTTATTGACTTTGATTTTTTTTATAATTATTATTATTAATGAAGTCTACGTTACATCCGCATCATGAATATGTTTAGTTCAAACGGATTTTTACGCAACTGTGATTTTTATACGCAGTTTTTTTGGAAATTTTTCAATGTTTAGTGTTTTTTATTTATTATTTGGTTGTAGTTTACTCTGGGATAGTTAGTCACATATTGTCTGCCATTTTATCTGCGCTTGTAATATTATACTAAGGTCACGTTTGTTGATACGCACTAAATTTAAATTGTGCTGTCCCTGGCCTTTACGTGATAAGGACATGTGTAGGGATAATGTTTCAGTGGGAACTCCGTGCTTCAAGGTTCATTTTTCTTTGACAATATCGTAAGGACTGTAAGAATAATATTTTAATGGGACTCCGTACTTTAAGGTTTATTTTTCTTTAACAATGTTGTTAACTAGAGATTTGGTTTCAAATCATCAGTGTTGGTTTGAAAATATATCTTATAGACTGCCTCTAAGTTTAAGTAAGAGATGAATATACATTATTTACTATTAAACTCATTTTGTATTGCAATATTTATATCTATGTTTTTTTTGCAATAATTGCAAGTAGTTATGGTTTTTGAGGGAAAAAAATATCATATGCCTTCTCTAACCTCTTCTAGGGTGGAGTGTCAGACTCTTACTGACATAAAACTACCCAGTTCCCTTTCCTGCGCCTGGTTGAAATTGCAAGTACTTAGTATATAGTTTTGGTCTTTGTACGAATACCTACTAAACAATTGATCATGCAAATAATTTGCACAATATTTTTTATATACCTACCTCAAAAATGACTTCCCGATAAACTTAAGTTCAAGGTAACACGGATGGCGAAATCCAAAAACAATTTACGTTTTGGGTTAGTCCGATTAGGTTCCAATAATTATTTTTATCAATAAATTATGCCACTATCATTAAAAGTAAAATGAATGTGTAACATATAATAAAATGTAACTATTTACATATTGGCAACGTGATTGTATATATTGCCTTTTATATTGCAGAATCACTTAGGCTACCAGACTGACTGTAAACTTAAGTATTAAGCTAAGCTGCAAGACGATGATAAAAGAAATGATAACGGAATAAATTGTGTGTAGTAAAATATAGAATAATTGATAACATTTATGAATACATAATATATTGTTTCCAATCAAAGCAATCTATACTAATATTAAAGCAGTAGAGTTTGTTTGCTTGAACTCGCTAATCTCTAGAACTGCAGGTTCGAATTGAACAATTCTTTTTGTTATTGTTAGTCCATTTATCAAGGAAGGTTATAGGTTATAAAACATCACGCTATGATATGTAGGAGCCAAGCAGCGAGTGAAACCGCGACAGTAGCCAGTTTAGTATAAATTCACAAAAGAAATAGTGCCGTGATTGCTACAGCTCTACACTAATTTCCGCAGTTAAAAAAATGTTTGATTTAAATTTGTAAGAACTGGTTGGAATTACAAAAAATGTATGTATGTATTCGAAAATGCGATTGTCTATTTATCAAGAAACGCTAACAGACATCACTGAAACTGCGTGGGATTGGCCAGTTATAATCACTTTGCGTTGCATATTAATGCTTTAAACTTTCGCGTTGCATGTTATTACAATAATTCTTACCTGATGGTAGATAAACGACTTTAGCGCCAAACAGGTTATGCACCAACCACGTCCATAGACCGTAGAACAACGCCATCTTGAACGAAGCTCGGAATACCTGTATACAACAAATATAATTACGATGAACTAATTATTAAACAAAATGTAACTCAGAGCAGTGATTTCTATATGATGATGAGGTAAACTAATAATAATATGAAAGGACAGCGTTGTTTCGCCGTATGAATCAGGTTACCGGAGGCCCAATTTTTCCCCTCCATCCTTCCTCAATCCATAAATACCCGAAACCTTAATTACCAAAAGGGCGGCAGCGCACTCGTAACTCCTTTGGTGTTGCGTACCATCAGGCAATCCGTCTGCTCGTTTACTAGCTTATTTCATTAAAAAAACAGAACAAGCATAATTCGACTCTCAGCTAAAAAAGTAGAAATTTAAATATTAAACAACTTTACTGTACTCAAGGATAGAAACTTGTAATATTTATAGTATAACAATTCTTTGTATGGTAGATACACATATTATTATTTCGTGTTCCGTATCTATATATGAAATATCTGTGAACGCACTCAAACACAGTATAATTTTTTTTTTTATGTAGTAGGTCGGCAAACGGGCAGACGGATTACCTGATGGTAAGCAATCAGCGCCGCCCATGGACACCCGCAACGGAGGAGTTACGAGTGCGTTGCCGACCTTTTAAGGATTAGGGATTTGGAAATTTAGGAACTGGGGAGGGATTGGGAAGGGGAAGGATTGGGCCTCCGGTAACCTCACTCACACGGCGAAACACAACACTGTGGTTGTTTCACGCCGGTTTTCTGTGAGGCCGTGGTATCACTCCGGTCGAGCCGACCCATTCGTGCCCGAAGCATGGCTTTCCCACACTTAAAAATATAATAATAATATTTACCTGGTTAATAGCCACAGAGAGCGCGATGCCGAGTCTAGGTCCAAAGTTAGGTTGAACTTGTGTGATCACCTCCACTGGCTTGTACAGCGCGTTACTGGACGCCAGCAGGTAGAACAGAGTCGTGAAGAATACAACCTGAAGGAACACAATTAAATTTATTATCATTATTAATTGTTAATAATTTTAATTTTAAATTTAAACCGTATTGTAAAGTTTTAAAGTTAATAATGAAATGCAATCATGAATAGATTAGACTTTATTATGTAATAGACGGATTGGTGTAGCTTTATGAGCTGGTGTCTGTGCTATAACATTAGGGTTACTAATTAAACATTTCAAGTGTGGGTGAGTTATGCTTCGGCACGGATGGGTCGGCCCGACCGGAGTGATATACCACGGCCTCACAGATAATTGGCGTGAAACAACACTGTGTTTCACCGTGTGAGTGAGGTTACCGGAATCCCAATCCTCCCCCCCCCCAATCCCATAATCTCCAAAGCCCTAATCCCGAAGAGCGTTGGCAACGCACTCGTGACTCCTCCATAGTTACGGGTGTGCATGGGCAGTGCTGATTGCTTACTATCAAGTAATCCGTTTGGTCGATTGCCGACCTAAGAAATAATACTAAAAACAAACTTACCAAGTTGATAAACATGTTAATGAGGGCGCTTCCACCGCAGAGTAGCAGGGACGTGAACGCTCCCACTGATCCAGCCAATAGAGAGACGTTGCTTGCCAATGGCGCCCATATACTCGTAGCTATAGCACTTAGAGTGCCAACGTTGGCTTGCACCCACGCCACTATTCCTGAGTAGTCGAACATGCCTGTAAAAATCGCTCATCTGATCTTGGGATATTCAGAGTATAAGTAGATGATAACGTTGTGATAGCCAGAAGGTTTATGCGCCCGCTTCTAATGCATAAGATGGGTTTCGAAACCTTGCAAGTTGTAATGAGACATTGTAAAAGTCGTAAGTAGGTACTTTCTAAGTTCACAAAGACACTACGGACATACGGTGAAGAAAAACATCTTGAGGAAACTTGTTTTTATAATTTCTAATTATAGGTTTAAAGTCGGTAATCCGCCTTAAGCAAGCGTGGTGATTAATGCTCAAACTTCACCGTGTGAAAATAGGCTTTTGCTTAGCAGTGGGCACTTATAGGCTGATGATGTGTAGCTGAAAGCTATATATTTTCGTATATTCAAGTCGCTGTTACCATTGGGACCCTTCTTGGCCCTTGTTTGGTGTTTTTTGGACAAAGACTCTCGTCATTTTTTAAATCGACATTAAATGAATATCGTTTGCATGTTTGAAATCAAACCTTTATTAATACTACTCCATAAATAATAGGATTAGGATGAACATGCACTCTGAGAGCCGTAGGTAATACCTTTGTATGAAAAAAAGTTACTTACCAGGCGCGTTAGACACATCATTGACCAGGTTATCCCACGAGTCTTGTATCGCAGCGCCGTCGACCTGCGGCCCAACAGTAGACGCGAAGTGTCCCGACACCCAACTCTGGTACACTCGATCCCATAACTCCAATATTTGTTGTTCAACACGACTTATTTTCTCTGGATCGCCCTCTTTCAGGATACTTTTTACCTGTATTTGTAAACATATCACTCAAATAACATCTCAATCGCTGAAATTATGCCGAAGAGGTTGGAAGCAGTGTATGAAGAGTGTTTTCAATAAAGACTGACACTTTTTATATCCATAATGGTGTCGGTTTGTCGTTTTCTAGCTACACTGGACTCTGTAGTTAATGAAAAAGGAATAGTTTCTAATTTTTATGTGATACGTCGGGAAATGATATTACCTGATGAAAGACCAGGGGAGTTGCTTTTTGGGGTTTTGGGCGTTGCGGAGGTCTCATCCCTCCTGGGAGGCGGGAGGGGGGAGGAACAACGCTGTGCATTCAATAGAAAATTAAGTCGCGGTGGCCCGGAGATTAAGGCATTTCATGTATGAAGGTGCAGGTTCGTAACCTAACAAGTACCGATGTGCCTTTTTCCGAGTTATATGTAGGTAATTTTCTATGATATTATTGAGACACCACTGACATACAGTGAAGGAATATAATATTGTGGAGAAAACTGGACTTATAAATCCTAATCTTAAGTTGAAATCGCCAATCCGCCTTGAGAAAGCGTGGTGATTAATGATGATGTTTAATAGAAAATTAATATTTCTTTGCTCGAGTTAGTGTTTGATTTTAAGATTGTTTTAACAGTACTATTTAATACTTGCCCTGAGATCAATAAGGCAGTTGTGTTAGTTACCTATTGATTTTTCAGTTAATTTCAGGGTCGTAGAGTCCTAACAGCTTTTAACACGCAAGCTTTAAGGTGAATTGAACTAACTAAAATGATTAATTGGTCGTAAAAGAAAAAGGGTAATTAACGTATACATTTCTCGCAATATACTGATTTATTTATATATTCTTTATTGTACACAACATTAAAATTTGACACAAAGAGCAGGCTAACAACAACAGAGTGTACAATGGGCGGTCTTATCACTCACGGTGATTTCTTCCAGACAACCTTTGAATGGAAATTAAAAAGTGAACTGGAAATGGGCAGTCTAGTGCACAATAAATACGGGAGAAAGAAAAAAAAACAATATAAATAACGTATAAACTTACATACAGACTCATACACATATATACATACATCAATAATAATATATATACATATACATACATATTACATAATATTATACACGTATCCGGTATATATATTTGTGTGTGTGTGTGTGTGTGTGTTTGTGTGTGTGTGTGTGTGTGTGTGTGTGTGTGTGTGTGTGTGTGTGTGTGTGTGAGAGAGAGAGAGTGTTTGTGTGTGTGTGAGAGAGAGAGATAGAAAGAGAGTCTCTACAGTGACAGGTAGTTGTACTCCTTAACCATTCTCCTAAACTGACAAACCGACTGAGCACGCCTCACCTCCAACGGTAGGGCATTCCACAATCGAGCCGCTTCAATGCTAAAAGATTTATCAAAGAAAGAGGTCGAATGCAAACGGATAGGATATGAGTATTCCGGCGAAGGCGAATAGGCAGCCATTTGAGCTTATTTCGAAATTCTGAGACGTGATCATACTTACGCAGTCCAAATATGAATCTAACAGCTTGTCCAATTGTACTTGGGTAAGATAACTGATTAGTAAATGGTTTGGAATATAACTCTTAAGTAGTTATAATAACTTTAACGATTTCGATGCTTAGTTGTCCGAATTCAGTACTTTTGTTGCAATGTAAAAATGATATTGTATATAAACAGTTTGATGATGTGATGTTACGATCTGCATACTTAGTTCTTGAAGTTTGTTAGTAAAATATCGTGAAATCAATTACTGAAAGTATTCAGTTCAGAATCATTTATCAATGACGTTACTATATTTATATTTATATATGACGTTAATTCTAGTAATGAATTTTTGTAGGATATTTTGTGGGTGTTTATAAAGCTATGGCGTGATATAGTTTAGCTACACTTCTGGTAGATATTACTGACTTTACGAAGGTGAATTAATGCGCTGTATACTTCGCCATTTTCGCCAAGAATGAAATATTTTCATGGAATGATATTCCTTAGTGATGCATGGTGTATATTATAAATCTAAATCATGCTTCTCTTTCATTTTATTTAAAAGAATACACACTTACTACGTTCTGAATCTTTATTACGTCCGTAATGAAGCAGAAAAGAAAATAACACATCAAATAAGAGTCTTATTATATTGCATACGCAATGAGCACATTCGTTTGGGGCTCATTATTATAGCGATATTTGCATCTTGCACCATATTGTCGCTACTACTGGTTTTCCAATCACCGTAGCTTCCAAAATTGAAAGTCCAGTGATTTGAATTTTGCAAATATTGTACTTTTTAGTCCAGTCACCTTCGTTCTCAGAACAATTATTTTCAATTGAGAATATGGACTATTTAATATTAGGTTTTTTTGTCAGGAGAAAATCATCAGGGAGGGAATTTCAGACTGTTACTGACTAAAACTCGTTCCTTCTCCTGCTTTAGACCACGGTGCCTCATTGCGCTTATCCCGCAACCCCGGCTGAATATTAGGTTGAAGTGGCAATCACGTTGCGATTCCCTTAGAAAGGTCACTCTCTGTGGAGTTTTTGGACTATCCAAAGCTCTAATAATCTAACAACCAAAAGTATTAGTCAAATAATTAAATATTAACTAATTGAATGACTTACCGCAGTAGAGATTCCCTCCCTCCCGTAAGTGTATGCGTTATCAATGAGCGAGTCGAGTTTCTCTTCCCATCCTTCGGGTAGATAAGCGTGCAATTCGCTGTTCTGAACATAAGTGCTGTTCAAAAGACTACCGCTTAACTGGACTACTACTATCGCTTCTGAATAAATCTGAAAACATTGGATTTTAGCTATAAGTGAGCGTTCTTGATTCTTTTATTAGTAATGGTAACTTAAATACGACGTTACATTGAAGTAAGCTACTTGCAGTGAAGTGTTTAACGGTGGAAAATCATGGCGAGATTGGGTGGAGTGGGTAGAGGGAGATCAGTATCAAAGTCTTACTAAATCTGTCTGACTAAATCAGCTCTGTTCTCTTCTTTTGAGCAGACTACCTTATTGCGCTTCACTTGATGACGACAGCTGGGCTCGATCTATGGTAGTCTGATTACTTTTTAAGGATCGCACAGGTCTGGTCAACACAATTCGGTCGTTTACAGAAACTGTATTTCTCTTTAATATTATTATTCTAACATAACTCCCTATTATTGTCTCTTCTAGTCTTATGTTATAAAAGTCGAAATATGAAATAACTAGAGAAGGTTATTCAATTATTATCTACCTGTATAAATATGAAGACGCTAGCAACAGTCAGGAATAATATAAGTCCAACAATGACAATGCACGTGGACACCGTATCCACCGAGCTATACCCCATGTCTCGGAAGCTAGCATTGCAAACAGACGCCATCTTGCCTAACCCACGAACGTGTGCCGGTAGTAAAGCTGACTGCCTGAAATAGCAAAGAAAAAGTTACGTAAATACATGTGAATTCAGGTCAATAAGTACCAAAATCGTGTGATGACGAAATACCTACTATCATGAAAGACGTTGCCGATAATTTTTCTAATTAACTAATTGATTCAGCGTTCAAGGCCATTTATGATAGATTATGCGAGTCTTATGATGAATTATAAGCAAATACTCTCGTGTAATAGTCTACTTGCTTTAGATCTATGTTTGCGTGGTCACCTAATGTTTTGCTTGCTCATAGATTAGGTACGGCCACACATTTCACGATTTAGGGAGTCTACATTTAAGTATAAATTTAGGTACTTAGTTTGCTAAATTATTTTCATACGACACAGATAAAAATAAATGTAATATGTATGTGAATTTATATGTTCGTAAATGCACCCATGATTCAGGAGATGATTTCAGTGTGGGGCAAAGTTGAAATAAAAGAAATACAGTAATAAATGGATCTACTAAATTTGCTTACCTCAATTTCCACCAGCCCTTTATTTTTCCCATGACATTATTGTAATGGTTCTCAAAGAACAGCCATACACCGAAGTAGTCCAACAACCTCTTCATGACATGTATAGCCAGGAAGAACAGAGTGACTGGCAATAACCAGATATGCTTCCAAACAAGCATACAGAGGCATCCGAAAAACAAGAGTTTGAAGTAAAGAGCAGTTTCTTCATCATTGTCAAAGTTGTTCTTAATGTAGTTTTCGTCTAACGATCTTTGCTTGAACGCATTCAAGAATCGTGTGTCGCATTTAATTTTTGAATTCGATAACGGCAAAGCGGATAATGTTCTTGTTTTGAACAGAATTTTTGGGTGTCGCGGGGAACTTTGGATAGGCTCGTTAGATGCCCAGCTTCCTCTTTTCACTAAGCCTTCAGGAGTAACTGGAGATGGGGAGTCCTTTTCTGGAGTACTTTCTTGCTCACTGGACTCTATAGGCACCTCCTCTGGTTTATCTTCTACCTTTTTTTCTTCGTCTTCATTATTTGAAATTGTTTTAAAGAAGGCTAGTATGAGAGAGGCTTCTGGATCTGTATAAATGTCAATTGATTGGTACCAATGCATTATAAATATAGTAGCATAAGTAGTTTTTTTTCGTGTGGATACATACCTTTTTCCAATAATTTCTTATGTACATCAAGCACTTGTAAAGCAAAGCCAGTTATGCATATTGCTTGAAGAAACACGAAGGTGTAGACTTGCAGAGATCCTGTGAGACTTGCTATAAAGCTCGAGATAACCAGCCATAGCATATGTGATGTAATACGGAAGATAGTGGCTCTTTGTGGTGTCCATAGTATGTATACACTAATAATGTAAGCTAAGAATATTGTTAAAGTCTGAAAAAAGAACATACTTACATTTTATAGGAAGAAATCAAGTAAAATTAATACAAATCTATAAAAAAGGTTATGAATTTGAGAAAAGAGATTCAGTGTGCCAAAAAAGTGGAAAAATAATTGAATAAGTCTTCTTTTGTTTTCATCATACAATTACAACTTTTTTAAAGAAAATATAGTAAAGTATCTTACAATGTAAGAGCTGCAGACGCTTATCAACAATGTGGTGGAGAAGCTGATGAAACTGCTAAACTGCCAGAAGAGGCAGACTAGACTCCGAGGTACTGCGTTGTATAGCCATGGAAATACAAATATTGCTGATAACAATCCTATTATAGTCTGAAATAAAAATTAAATAACACTTAAAACTATCCAATTTAAATAACAAAAGTTAGGTACTACCTAGATATTCAATCTTTTTGAGGATGCCTATGGTTAGCAGCGGAATTATTTTTTATTGAGTTGTATCAGTCTTACATGATAATAACATAGAAGACATTAGGCATACATTATTCTAAATAATAATATAGATAGTTTAAGTTTTTGGCAGTTAACAGACAATGATATGACAATGAAGGCAAATCCTCCAGTCACCTACATAATATGAGGCAGTTACTGTGTTAAAGAATTTAAACAGGTTTTTTTGAGAGAGGTAACTCATCCAATCTCTTCTCATTCCAATCCTTTCTCTTCTCTAACCACCAAAAGGTCGGCAACACACCCATAACTCCTCTGTTGTTTCATGTGTCCATGGGCAGCACTGATTGCTTATCATCAGGCAATCCATAAGATTGTTTGCCACTTTAACACTCAAAAAAAAAAAACAAAATGCGATTATTGCTTAAACTACTTCATATTAAGAATAAAATAGAGTTTAAGTTGCACATAGTAATAAAATTATAATAGGTATTACCTGTACATAAACATAATGATGGTACTAAAACTGGTTTTTAATTTATAATCTATTATTAAATCAAATACTAGTAAATCTCATATTACTGAATTCTATTACATTTATGATAGAAAAAGTATCAAAGTGTATTATCATAAATTCAATTGATTTTAAAGTATTTTTATAGGCTCATAATATTAGAATTATACATAGTTTATACTTATATTAAATATAAGACTTAAGTAATAATATATTGTTTAATATAAGATCTTAATTTTTTGTGTTAATACAATATTTAAGTAAAAGCGAAGATGCGGCGAAAATATTACCTACTTACCTTATAATGATCTATGAACTGTTGCCCAACAGTGTCTGAAGCATAGTTGACCACATTCATTGGAATCACCATCAAACCAACCACCACAGACGTGTTCGTCTTCTCCAGATCTTCGAACCATGATTTCAGCTTCTTCGAAAGTTTATACTTAAATGGATGGAGCAAAGAACCAACTAGAAGAGCCCAAAACAGAGGCTTGAAAAAGGGCTCTAAAATTAAAAATAGCACATACACTGCCACACAGCATATAGCTAATATGAATAGGGCGAAAGCGTTATAAAACCCATGTTTCATGGGTTTCTCGTTTCCTTCCGTTATTCCTCCGATAATATTGAATATGTTTTCAAATGGCGACTGCTGCATTGCTTCTTGGCGTTAAAGAAATGCACAGTAAAATGTTAAAGAGGTAACATTAAAAATCTTTAAAATCTAATAGACTCTAAAAAAACCACATTTAAATAATTATGAGATCATAGTTTTTATTTGATTTTCGGGAACATTAACTATACTTCACACACAATTACGTTTCAGTATTCCTTGTTCATATCAAAAAGTGACAGCAGGACGGTAAAATACGGTTTACAACATGAGTGAAAGAGATAATGTATATAAAAAAGGGAACATTAAACATTTTACAAGTCTCTATGATAAAAATGCGGCATTTTCAATGATTTTATCGATGAACTTTGTTCCTGTCAACACTGTCAAAAACGTCACGATCAAAAATTGGCATTGACATAATTTTTGGGTTTACAAAGTAAGTTCCACCAATTTCAAAGAAAGTATAGTGTGTACTTTAATAAAAAGTCGAGTTGATTGAAATAGTTTATTTTTTTTATACTCAAACGTTATGTTGATTGTCATCTAAGTTATCTATACTAATATTATAAAGAGGTAAAATTTGTAAATTTGTATGTAGGGGGTAATCTTTGGAACCGATCGCGCTGGCCGGATTTCCAAAATTCTTTCACTGATATATACAATGTTCCTGAGTGCTATGGGCTATGAAACATCATGCTACGATCAAATGGAGCCGAGCAGTGGTTGAAACCGCGCGAGAGTAGCTCCTAGTCTTACTATAATATTATTAAATGTGAAAGTTACGATGTTTGGATGTTTGTTACTCAATCTCGCCGATACGGCTGAACGGATCTGGATGAAATTTTGGACAGGCATAGGATACACTCCGGAATAGGACATAGGCATTTTATTAACATGCGTGTACTTTTTAAAATGTTAATAAAATGATTAGATTATTAAAAGTCTAAGTAAAATATATAAAATAATCTAAATCTACTGCTTATTAAGAATTCCTAACAAGACTAATGTAAAAATAAAACTAAAAATTTTATTTTTCATATCAATATTTACTTACTTACTTGTATATAAGTTTTAATTTCTGTTGTTGAGTGAATCTACCTAGACTTCATAATTAACTGTTAGGTACCTACCGTACGTAGGTTCGATTTGTGAGGTACAAGGTGAGGTACCTATCTACGCTACGACAGCAGAACTAACATCTCACAGAAAAAGCAACATTATTGAGATCTACTTGAGCATTCTTTCAAACAATCGTTTTAGATCAGAAAATAAAAGGTACCTAAGTATTAACAACGTGTCACATTAACACAATTATACCTAGGTACTAAGCCTATTAATGATAGCTCGATTATTATTTTATGCCCTACTGGGGCTAAATGGGTACGCACATTATAAAAAGCCATTTCACACTCGTTTAGCGGTACAGAATTAATAAGTTTAACAATAGAAAGATAGTAAATTCTGACACAATGAATTACTGTGATAAATGTTTTTTTCATTCTAGTTAAAAAAATGTTGGAAATGAAACATTTCTGATTCGCTTTTAGAACGTACTTAACGTTCATGTTATCGGTTGGATTTGTTTGAAGCTTATTAATTTGTAATGACACCTATTATTTTTGGGCTCTTCAGTATACTGGCTGGCACGAGTGCATTAACAAAAATTTATCAATATCACGACACAGGCCTTACCCCTTGTATCACAAAAATGGTAGCTGACATTGATTACAAGAAATACAGCAAGTTAATGGACATTACTTTAATGAATATGAACAATGATTTACAATTATCAGCTATCCATCAAGTTGAAGGAGCGCGATTTATTTCTAGAAGATTTCTTTGGGACACTGAGAACGTTAGCAACGTCATTTATATCGTGATGAGTGAAGATTATATAGAATTAGCGAATGGATTGAGTAAAGTAACGTCTGATAAATTCTGGAATCCATCAGCAAGGTTCATTATTGTCGTGCAAAACTTGAAGCAGTACAGTTTACAAGATGTCGCTGACCTACTCCATACATATAATATATATCAAAAAGTTTCTATAATATCACGCTATGGTGATGAATATGCTATTTACAAATATAACCTTACAAAGCCTGGTGACTGTCTTAAAACTGGACATTTAAAATTTTGGTCACTGTGTTCTGATTACTGCTCTGGAAAAATGATACCTCCAATAAATAAAGGAAGCATTCGCGGCTGTCGATATAAATTTATAGCACAGAATTTGTGGCCGTTTACAAACTTCGACTCCAGCCTCAAAGGCACAGAACAATATATAATATCGTTATTTCAGAAGGAATATGGAGTGAAAATTGATCTACTGGAGTTTACTAAAGTAAACAAATTTGGGAAACCGGTTGGTAACTCAACATTAATTATGATTGAAGAAGTAGAGAACAACAGAGTCGAAGGGGTTGTGGGAGGGTACGTGATCGATTCCTTATATGACGGTAAAAACATAACTTACTTGTATCCCATGGCAATAGATCATATTCTTATTATTTTGGCCCGTGCCGATTATGTAGATCAATGGTCAGCCATTTTGTCTCAGTCTTTAAGTACTTTTATTGTTATTAGCCTCTTGTTTGTAATATTTTGCTCCGCAGCTATATTTCTGTCTTTATTTCGTTCAAGGAGTGATGTATCACGTGATATTCTGATTGTATTTGGATATTTATTAAATAAAACTGTAGTAAAACGCACAGCATCGGGGTGGCCCCAAGTATGTCTTTTCACAACTATATTGTTCACAGCATTTATAATACCTTATGCAATTCAAGCGAATCTGTTTAGTGTGACTACTAGACCTGTTCGTGGCTATGAACCGAAAGAATTTGAAGACTTAAAAGATTACACACCCGCCTTGTATACTGAATGGCAGCGTCGCATTGCTTTTAATAATTCCCATAATTGTGGGACGAGAATTGAGTGTCTGCGGATGGTGAAAAATAGTCCAAGGAAATCGTTTTATACCTTAATATCAAGGTTGCATCTTTGGATATATCAATGGTTACTGACCGATAGCCATTGTAGCCTGGGAATATATGCATTGAAGGAGCCATACATGACTGTATACAGAAGCATATATGTACGTCGTGGCTCCGTTCTAATGAACCCTATAAATAATTTTCTGTTGAGAATCGCATCAGGTGGTATCATAAGGAAACATGCGTCGGATATAAGTTATCGAGAAAAAGTGAAATGTAAATCTCATAGTTCATTATCTTACCACGCTCCATTGAAGTTGTCGAATTTTAAATACATATTTATAATTCTAATCGGTGGTTACATTTTGTCTTTCTTGATATTTCTTTATGAAATTTGGGTTGGAGCTAAACGAAAATTCATTTAGTAATTTATTTAAAGAATATAATTAAACAATGAAAAATTATTACTGAATAAAAAATCTGAATCAAAGCACAGTAGTAGCTATCATTTATTTGCTGTTCCTTGAGGATGATTCGAGAACATAAGTTAACTTTTCCTCTCTGTCTATTCACAATTTTTGAACAAATCTCAGTAAAAAATATTGTGAAATGTAGTTGAATTTAAAAATGGTATGGTATGGTACTTAATATAAATTATTTGTTAAAAAAATTGACCGATGCTTTTCCTCTTTATAAACTTTGAAACAATTTATGTGTGAGTAGTTTTTCAAATAATGTGATTGAATAAAAAAACAAAAGTCTATTATTTACAATGTCTGCAAATTCCTATTGATGACACAGTCAAGTCTCATTTCTTACGAAAAGAAGGTATGACCATTAGCTAGCATTTTTATTTTAAAAAATTATTACCTAAGTCTTTATAGAACCACATCCCTAAATTCTTAACTTCAAAAGGCCGGCGACCCACTCGTAACTTCTCTAGTGCTGTAAGTGTCAATGGGCGGCGCTGATGACTAGCCGCCAAGTTATCAGCCTGCCTGTTACCACAAGACTTTTTCCATAAAAGTGTGCCCGTTTAGTACAGGTACGTAGTAAAATATAGAATTCATAAAATGTTTATTTCCTATCTGTAACGAATGATAAATGAATAAAATTAGTTGAGACCACTACACTAAAAGGTTATACAAAGATTAATGATTTCAGCCATTTAGAAACATCATTATCTAACGGGACATTTGTAATGATTGAAGAGAGTTGGTCTTTTCATTAAAATAAATGCTTTAATAGTATCAAATCATGCTTTACTTAACATGGACGTGACTATTCTAAGTTTAACTGCTCTCAGTATATTAATCACTGCAAGTGGATCAATAACACAGGATCAAGGTCACGTCGAGACTTTAACTAATTGTGTTGTAAAAGTATTGCAAGAACTGGAATACTTGAAATATGAAAAGTTGATAGACATTACTGTTATGAATATGAACAATGATTTACAATTATCTGCACTTCATAAAATGGCAGGTATGCGATTTATTTCAAGAAGATTTCTTTGGGATACGGGAAATATTAACAATGCTATATATATTGTGATGAGTGACGACTATCAAGAACTGGCGAATGGATTGAATAAAGTCACCTCCGATAAGTTCTGGAATCCATCGGCAGGATTCATCATTGTGATACAGAAGATGGAGGAGAACAGTTTAAATGACGTCACTGGTCTGCTTCATACATATAACATATTTCAAAATGTGTCGCTAATATCACGAGATGGTGATGACTATCTTATAAGTAAGTTTAACTTTTCAAAGCCGGGTTCTTGTTTGAAATCAGGTCATCTAATATGTTGGACACGGTGTTCTGAATACTGCTCCAGTAAAATGTTACCTCCTTTGAATATGGGCAGTATTACAGGCTGTCGATATAAGTTTTTAGCACAGAATTTGTGGCCATTTACAAACTTCGACTCTAACATCAGAGGTACTGAACAATACATTATGGCACTATTTCAGAAGCATTATAAGGTTAGAATCGATATACAAGAGTTTACAAAAGTTAACAAATATGGAATTCCAGTTGAAGACCAAAAACAAATTATGCTCAAAAAGGTTAAGAACAATGAAGTAGAAGGAGTCGTAGGTGGATATGCAATTAATGACGCTTACTCTGGTAACATTTCTCATAGTTATCCAATGACAATAGATCACATGTTTTATGTCTTGGCTCGTTCCAATTATACGGAACAATGGGTTGCAGTATTGAATCAGTCTTTGACAACTTTCCTTGTGATTGGAGTCATATTCATTATAT